ATATGTATATGCATGCTTATGTGTATACACACTGGCAAACGGAAAACACACTAATGCACGTACGGACTACATCTAGAATAATGAAAAATATCCACGGAGAAACAAGCCTTTTTATTTTCTTGTTGTTGTTATTGCAAATTTCGCGTTGCGTAACTATCCTCTATCCTTCGCGTCGGTACAGAAGTGGATGAAGGAGGTGGTGGCTCGACACTAATTCACCAAAGCACGTTGCTGCTCCCCTTTGATGCACACATAGGAGCATTGATTGCTTTCGACATTTTCCACACATCGAAAATACAGATGGAACTTGTCCAAACCATTGACCATTTATTATAAAATTCCATGTAAAAGCTTCCGCCTCTGTACACTATCGAATTACGATCATTGCGCCAATTAGTTTTAATCAAACCCAACAAAAAGAAAATCGATAACCACTATCAAGTATTTTTAAATACTCACTGTTGCTCACTATTCCAAGGATTGTTCAGTGTATTGCATATAATATATCTATTTATATGCAATAATAATCGCTTTTCATTAAACCTTAGCACTAACTTAAAAAATATGTATTGTTCTATACATATTAGTCTGTTCACATTCTAACAATTAGAAATACTTTTTATTTTAAGTCACATGATAAATATTTATAATTTAATTCACTTTTATAAAATGCAATATTGAAAAAAAATTACATAATATTATGGATATTTATCAAAATGTTATATTTTGACAAACATTACATATATATAATATTTAAAAAAATATTGTAGTAAGTTTTCAATTATTTTGCTTTATTATAATATTAAATGTATTAGTGATATAAATAATTATATTTGTACGAAAGTTATTTCTGTATGTAAATATACATCAACTGAATTATAAATGTAAGGGTTGGCAGTAAACAAAAATACTTAATTTAAAAGTAATGTTATGAATGAAACGGAAATTTTATTCTCTACTTTAATTAAGAGACACGAGTAAATTAAAAAATATAATAAACTTATATTTCTGTAAATTATTACATAATTCTAAAAATACTCTAAATATTTACAGTATTATTGTTAAAGAATAGTAATTGGATCATTGGTACTTAATAATATTAAATAATATTAAATAATACATCATAAACTTTTGCATATACTAATTGCACTATTGAAGAAGTTGTCAAAAGACACAGCAGTTGATATCAAGATGAGTTTGATTTCCTGTAAATATTTAGACTAATACGCGTGTCTTATAGTCATAAACCAATTTATAATCGATTCTAAACTCGTACATATTAATGAAAAGATAAACATTTTTATATACTTCTTAAACTAAATTCAATTTTAATATTCATATATTTAATGTAATTTAAAAACGTACATTACATCAAATATTGGTGATTGGTAGTTTATTCTTAATTTGATTTAAAATAATTCAGTTAACAGTAAATTAAAAATATGGTGTCGATATATAGGCAACCAAATATACTTTATTTTACTAATCATTAGATATTGCTAAATGTCTCAATATCAAAGATTTATTAAAGATAAACTTAGATTTATTTTACAGATATTAATTGAATATAGTGGAACCTTGTTTAATAAGCACCTCGCATAACAAGCATTTCTCTTAACGAGCAAAATGACTCTTAATGACTCATAACGAGTGATGATGAGAAGAGAAGTCCCGGATTGCGGGCCTGCTATATCATTTTTTAAACTTTTGTTTGTATTTCACTATACGAGTAAAAATCCGGAAATTTTTCAACGGATTAAACTCGTTAAGCGAGGTATTACATTCTGAAGTCAACAACTAACTAATTCGATCTATTAATATGGTTTGCGGTCGAGCTGGATGTTAAATTTTGTCTTGATGTAGAAATGGATTAACAGCGCAACACGAGCATTTGCATTAATGTTAATTGACAATACGTATTATCCGTAATATTCCGATGATTGCTAGATTTCCTTTCAGTTACGTATTGAGTGATGATTTCGAACATTAATAATATAAATCAACGATCAAATTTGTATTGAATTCAATATAAATACTATAAAATCTTAGGAGAGGAAGTACTTTTGTAATATATACACCAATTAATTAATTTAATATTTTATTAATATAATTAACTGTGAATTAATTGAAAAATAATACACATTCATTCATGTTTAATTATTTTCATCAATATATGTTTTCAGAGTACACTCGGTCCTCTTTTTATGCGTTTTTGAAGTTATGCGGTTTTTATTTCAAGAAGCATTTTTTTAAATAACTATTTTAGGCTATTTTGACACGTTTTGACACAAATTGGCAAATTCAAGTTTCAACGCGAGCTTCAGAATTGCATTTCTGGATATCAGGAATTGTACAATAAAATAGCAAAGCCATTGTAAAGTTTAATGACTGATTATATTGTCAAAGAGAAAAAATCAACATGCCAAGTTAAGACTAATTTTACTTGTGAAGAATCATTAACTTAAGGGCATAGATCTGATATGCTGACTATCTCTTCTAGTGATGAAAGTGATTTCGAACCAGTTCGAAAATTATGCCGAAACCTCTCATATAGCGACGATAATTCTAAAGAAAAAAATGTGAAGAAAGATTAACTTTCATAAAAAATTTCTGTATTTTTTTTGTAAAATTTTTCCGTATAATTGTTAAGGTTTTTTTTAAATTATGTATAAACATTTCAGAAAGAATGTAGTAAGACTAATTATTTTTCTGAAATTTAATAAACCCTTTTTATGCGATTTTCGGTATATTTTAACTCATTGATTTAGTTTTATGCGGTTTTAAAAAAATATGGAACGTATCCTTTATTTTTATACGTGTGTCTAGTCCTTTTTTGTGCGATTTATTTTTATGCGTTTTCCTGTGGAACGTATCTACCGCATAAAAAGAGAACCAAGTGTATTATAGATGACGACTATATTTTGCGCTCATATGCAATACGAGCGTATATATCGCAAGTCCGACAACCGCAAGACCGTCTATTGAAATCCCGACGTTCTAAATCCCGACTATATCAAAATCTCGATAACCATAATCCCGACTGTATCAGAATCTCGACAACCATAATCCCGACTATATCAAAATCCCGACTATATTGAAAATCGAATAATTTAAAAATGTTATTGAAGAGATTTTTGATACAGTCGAGATTATGGTTGTCGGGATTTTAATATAGTCGGGATTATGGTTGTCGGGATTTCGATACAGTTGAGATTTCAAATTGAATTATTTAGAACAAAGATACAACTCTTTACTGGATGTCAGAGTTCTACTACAATAATGTTATAGTTTTCTGTCTTAGAATTTCAATTCTGTTACAATAAATTACACAAACAATACGATTGCAGAATAATTAACCCTTTATTTTAAGGTTAGCGAAATGTATTTGTATCATTTTGTATAATTAAACTATGATTTTTGCAATAATTGGGGATGAAGGTAACTAGAGCTGCCGGCGACAAATAATTATTATGTTTGTTGAACTATAGAGCAAGCAAACAATGCTACCGCAATTCAATGTGACGCTAATAAACTTTGACTATTTATTGGTATGGCCTGGTATCCCTCATTTACATACCAAAATTTATCTGTGCAATGCATTCATTATCAAACACTATCTACCCTTCATTGAATCTATTCTTTATTAACTAATTGGGAAAATAATCGCAAAATAGAACTAATTATCAACATCAAAACGGAAAATCGATTGAAAGCTATTTCTTGTTTTTTCTTTTATAACAATCGGTTTTCAGTATATACAGCAGTTTATACATTATTTTACGAGTTAACGTACATAATGCGTGCAGAAACAAAAGGACTGCGAATTCCTCCGATATATTGATTTTGTACATTGATGTAATAATTAACTACTAATGGAATATGAATTGAAAAGTCACAAAGACCTATGGTAAATAGCTCTTGAATTCATTTTATTTCTTGTTATTCTCTTTTTTTAATATGTACAGTAATATTATGTACGTTAATTCAACAATACATAATAAGTATACAAACTGCAGTACGTTAATCGGAACATTATAAATATGAGATGCACAATATTAATGCGTGATAAATATATAAAATTTGGAAGATAAGTTGAATTTTTTACTTTTAATGGATTTCGACGGTACTGAGTTTAGTTATAATTTATAAAAATACCGTTTTTTAAGAGTATTGTCTATATTAAAAATAAATGATTCAGGAAAAATTGAATGATGTTGTTGAATTACTTTAGAAATATTTATTTTTTTTATAGATTTGTACACTATATAAATATTAATTCTCTCTCGCTTTCACATACGTTTTATATATATATATATATGTATATAAATATGAACTAAATTGACATCTTTATAGAAATGTATTTAATTCATTTTTTTTTCTATTTTCGATTTACAATAAATAAGGATCAGTCTTAAAATATTTATCAAACCAAAACCAAACATAACATATTATTAACAATATAGTGAAAATGACTTTAATGGTCCTTTTGTCTTTTTGAAAATAAAATAGAATATACATTAAATACATTGTTGCTTGATAGATCATATATTTTATAGATAGCCACAAATTTAAAATTGAGAAAGAGAAAAACAATTACTGAACAAACAAACAAAAATAACTAATAGGAAAATAATTGCGATAAATATGATTTCTTTGATGTGTTCTTATTTTAATCATTAAAATGTACAGAATATAATCAATCGATTGATGAAAAAAATAATCATTCATATAATATTTATCATTCTTTTTAACAAGTAATATACATAAATTGACTTAAAATATGTAGGTTTACGTTTATATGAACAAAAATAATTATTATATATTAAAAGAAAAGTATCGTAGAATCAATGGGAAAACAAAATATCACAAAGAATAATTTTCTTTTAAATTTGAAATACCAAAAAAATCATATGCTTGAATTAATTGTCTTAATTTAATTACTGTTCATACAAATTAAAAATTAATATATGTATATATAAAAACATATTGATTTACTTTTTACAATCTACAGTATATTATTGAATGTCTATTATTAAAATTATCAATTGCTTCTGTTTGCATTTTGTTTACTCTAGAATGAGATCAAGCTAGACCTGGATCATGAGCAGGATTCCTGCTTCGCTGCTCGTAATGCTGAAAACAAATAATTTTATATTAAGTTAAGAGATTCATTAAACAAAATATGATTTATAAATACCCTCTCGTTCTCTTCGTCGAAGTTTCTTCCGTCTCTTCTCGATTAACTGGAGTTCGGCCTTAACGCCAGTATACGTTTTCTTCAAGTCGCTTAACTTTTGTAGAATTAATGCTATTCTACTTGATCTATCCATACTGGCATCTTTAAAATTATATTAGTTACTAACAATTAATAAAGATTTTTTTCAATGTACTTACCAAATTCTACAAAGAAATTGTACTTTGATGGTCTCGGTGACCTGTTGATCCTAGTTGGTTCTACTAAATTATTAGCAATGTCTTGCAAAGAATGTTCCGAGGTGTCATCACTGTCACTATTGTGGCGTGAACGATTGGGTTTTCTTCCTCTTTTAATTGGAACATTTTCGGAATCTCCTTTGCACGATCGTCGTCTTTTCTTACAAGGTGAAGGCACCTCCTCTCTCGTTTTTCTTGAACTTAGCGGTGGTTCAACGTTCAGCAAAGAATCTTAAATAATTTCAATTAGTTTTTCAAAAACGATAAAGCAAAACTATTTATACCAAAAGCTTTTCTCTTTTTCCTATGGTGTTGTTTGTGCTTATGTGACTTATGTGTATGTTTATGCTTATGCGATTTTTGTTTATGATTTTTCTTATGCTTTTTGTTATTATCCATATCTTTTTACGAAACACTAATAATATAGTAGAAAGCATTGAATTTTAAATAGTTCGCTTGAAATACATAAAATAAGCTATACGATCAACAAGTTAAAATGAAAAGAACGTTAAATCAAAGTTAACTGTTAAAACACGTTTCATACTTATAAAAAACATCTGCTTTATCAATAGCAAAAAAATTGTCATTTTTTTGATGAATAAAATTATATTTAGAAATGTGCAATAAAGTATAATTTAAATCTAGTTTGAAAAGTAGTTTATCTCGAGATGTGATCTGATATTTTGATAAACAAAACATAAATAGATAATTAAATAAAACTTACCATCTTCGCTATAATTGGTAACTTTTGTAGTAGCAGAACGTCGCGAATTCGTGTATTCAACGTCGGTTTCCGTCGACTTACAACTCTCGTTATCCCCGTTGTTCGGTGATAATCCGCCGATTTCACTAAACATGCATAAACATTAGTATTAGTTAATCATCACCGGTGAACTTAAATATCTTACCCTCTAGGTGATAAATTGCTAATTGTACTTTCTGGAGTGGTTGGCGGAGTGTTATCTAGAACGGCGGAGGCTTCACGAATATTTTCTCGATTTTCCAGCGGCAATACGTGTGGTACAGGAGATGGTTGATTTTCTTTGGCTTTCTCCTGTTGGATCAACAGATTCTTGTTATTGCTACTGCTTCCACTAGGTGCACTTGCAAATGGCATTTCGAGGACATTGTTTTTAGACTTTTTAGGTTCATTCTGAGGCGCCGGTGCCGGACTTCCAGGTATTGTCTCCTCGCAGAACAACATTGAATGAAGATTAGAGTCTGGTTCATCGTCCTTGTTCGTTTCCGTTTCATCAGTCTTCTCCTCTTCCTCCTGCTCCACCTCCATTGTAACGATAACGTCCTCTTTCGCGGCAAGTTTTATATTATCAAAATTAAAATTGCGTTCTTCTACTTGACAAGTTGTATTTTCAATGGGCGTTGGTTCTGTGGGAACACTTTCCGTTTCCTTAGTTTTGTTATCCACAGATGTACTTGTTTGCGAGTCATCATCGGAAGGTACAATGACTAAACGTTGTTCGGAATCTGAATCGCTTTCTGTGTCCGTATCAATTATATATTTCTTGCTAACAAATTTCCTGGTATATCTTTTCTTAAAATCTTGCACTACAGGTTTACTTTCTTCCACTTGTGGTTTTTCCTCAATCTCATTTTTAATTTCAATTTTAGGCTCTATTTCGATAATCGGTTTCTCTTCTTTAACTTCGGGTTCCGTCTTAGGTTCGATCTTCAGTTCCACCTTCTTCTCTTCTTTTTCTTCTTCTTCTTCCTCCTCCTCCTCAGACGGTTCTAACTCCATATCGGAATTATTTTCATTGTTCTTTAACTTTTGAAGAATAGTATCAGCTATTGTCGTTCCAATTTTGAGATTGATATCCTTAAGATCATCAATTTTACTTGTATATTGCGGCGTAGAACACAAATCTTCTAATAGAGAACTATCTGTTTCTTGAAAAACGGCAGCTAATTGTTTTGGAAGTACTATCTTCTTTTCTTCTACAACCTCTTCTTTAATATCATCTTCTGCTTCAATTCTATTTAACGTTGTTGTAGATGCACTCGCTGAAGACAAATTAGTTTTGTTTTCAAACTTGGGTTCACTTTCTAAAACCATATCACTAGTATCATCGTCGGTGACTGTATTCTGTTCAACGTCTTTTAAAGTGTTATCTATTGCTTCCGTCACTTCTTCTATATTCTTCTTATTATCTTCAGTTTTAGAAGTAAAATTTTCGCAAGCAGCATCGATCATATGGTCCGGCGAAGGTTTTCCAAAATTTTCTTGAAAAAATGACGTAGAATGAGTAAAAGTCAATTCTCCTGAATGAGCATCGTTATCAGAAAGGTCCAATCTATCTTCACTATTTTCTTCGAGATTTTCAGCAAGTTCAAATATACTTAATGATTCATCCATATTTAACGCTTTAACTACACTGGGCTTTTCTAAAGGTTTTTCAGTTGTTGAAGATTTTCCAATATGGAAAGAAGGTGATTCTACTAACTTATCGAAGGGATCATCAGATTTTTTCGGCACTTCTTTCTTCTCAACTTCTTCTTCAACAACCTCCTCCTGTTTTTTCACTGGTGTACGCCTGAACCGTTTCTTTTCAGCTTCAGGTTCTTTGGTTTCTGTTTTAGCAGGAGATTTTGGACTTTTCTTTTTAGGAGGAGATTTCTCAACGTCATCGTAAAGCCTCGGGATTCGTTTCTTTCCTTTATCTTCGGTGCTGCTTTTCCTAACTTCGAATTCGAAAGGTTCCGGTTCTTTAAACTCGTATATATCTTCGGAGCTTGATGATTTTTCGACGACTTTCTCTTTCTTCTCGTCTGTTTCAGTTTCGGAATTGTCTTTGGGTTCAGGTACTGTAGTAGATTCATCAGATGATACTGTTTCTTTTTCACTAGTGTCAGTGCTGGTAACTTTAATGGCTTTACCAAAGCCCTTAAGCTCGGATCGAATTTGATTTAAATCGAATTCTCGACCCTTCGGTTGATTGGAACCTTCATCGTCACTATCCACCAAAGCTTTCACATCAGAAGCTTTCTTTAATTTCCTTGAACGTTTTGGACGCTCTATTTCCTCTTCCTTTTCTGTATCTTCGTCGTCCTTTCTCTTATCTCCTTTCTGCAAAAGATACTTGTATTTACTTTTTATTTTTAAATGATTAAAAATTAATATTTTACCGTTTTAATTAGTTTCCTTCGATATGTTTTCGTTTCAGAGTCATCCTTTGATCCGCTCCTGGTACGTGTCAATTCAGATTCACTCTCCGATCGCTCATCGCTTTCCGATTCTGATTGCACTGAAATATCGGTTTGAGCCGATGTTCTTCGACTTCGTCTATTGGAATCTAAAGAGGAAAATAAAATTCATTTAATACAAGTTGGTCATTATGTTGTGAACTAATTTATACCTTGTCTTGTAACTCGATTAGCGCTGGTCTTCGATACCGGCGTGGCAGGGCTTTTTGTTCTACTTGAAGTTGAAGTAATACTGGAAGGAGTCGTGGACCTTGGAGGCTCTGGTACAGTACTTCGTCCGGTAATGGACATACCGCGTCCCCTTTTAGCCGGAGTTTTGTTTGCAGACTAAAAATAATAATTCAATGTTAATAATATTATAAAGCAAAATATTAAAATATGATTTACTTTAGATCCAGCTGAAGAACTTTGCTTTAATCTTTTTGCCTTTGTTGTGGCGCTCAAATTTTCTGCTATTCTACTAAAGGTTATACGCTCATCATATCTGGTATTCCAACCAGTGTAGTGAACTAGATAAACGTATTGCCCGTTATGGTCTTTTTCAATTTTTAAAACTTTAGCTTCATATGTGACTTTTGATTCGTGGGTAGGCCCATAATATACTTTTAATTTATCACCAATACATACTGAAGATGCTGATGACGATGGAGGAGACGTGGACGTTGGTGGCGGTACTGATGATAATTCGTTAACACTACTATCAGAATTAGACGTCTTGTCATCAGTATTATTTCTTTTCCGGCCTCGTTTCTTGTCTTTATCGTCCTCTCCAGGCTTTTTACTCATGGATTTTGAAGGTTTTTGGGGTGGTTCACGATTTGGTGTTTTCGTGTCACGAATTTTACGTTCCGGGGAAGTAACTTCTTTGCTTCGCGGAACTTGCGATTTTGACCGAGTTTGCTGTATTTTATCATCATCGGCATGCTTCTTCGAGTGATCTTCAAACTTCTCCACCAGGCTCTTAACTTTTTCACCAGGTGTAGGTTTCACCTTCTTCTCCTTCGGTTTAGGTTCATTACGTTTGGATTTATTTATGTCTTTAGATGTACTGGGAGCTTCAGACTGATCTGTTGCATCACTGCTGTTGTCACTACTCTCCACTTGTGCTTCTTTACGTTTCTTTTCTTCCTCTACTTTTTTACTATCCGCTTTCTTTGTTTTAGTTTTCTCCTCCTCTTCCTTTTTCTGTTCAGTGTCATCCTCCTTTTCAGGTCTCGGACTTTGCACTGGTGTCATTCTATCTTTATCGCGAATAAGAGGACGACCTCTGTTTTTCTTTGCGTTTCTTGTGGGATTTAACATTGTGCATCCCAATGTACGATAAAAAGACTCGTAACTCAATAACCATTTTTTGTACACTTGTTTTACATGATTATAGTTCGCTTGATTCTGATTAAACTTTAATCGCGCTGTAATAGTTTTCCATTTGTTCTGATTTGTTACGCGATTATAACCACCAAACTTTTCGACCAACCTAAACAGTTTGTATAAATCTACATCTTTATTACCGATCGTTGGTGTTTTATTTAGCGGCGTACCACTGTCATCCATAAATTTATAGAGCTGAGCCACAAAATGGTCTTTTTCCTCTGTAGGTTCATCGTCAGAGCTCTGAACAAAAATTATTTTTCATAAAAATGTTTAAAACATTTAGAATATACTTACATCTGAAACGCTTTCATCGCCATCCGAAAAATGAGACTGCAGATTGAATAATGAATTCTTTTCCCAATGAGCAGGTAATTCGTCATTGTCTAAAAATTTTATTGCTTTATCTACAGCCTCTGCCAATGTAGAACTCTCCACGCGAGATCCCATTTCACGTTTAAACTCGTTCACTTCCTTTTTGGGCACTGTATAACTATATAGAAACATTATTTAATATATTTTCTTTTATTTTTTTTTCAAATAAACTTACTATCTTCCATCCTTGAAGGATCTTATCAAAAATTCATCTTTCATATTAATCCTAACTGTTGGTTGTGCTGAAGGCATTACTATTAAACCAGGAAACCAATTGTCCTTGTTTCTCTTCTTGTCACCAGCTTCAACACTAACAACTTTTCCTGTGTCAACACTATACAGCTCCAGATCTGGTTCATTTTCCTCCTCTGCTTCACCTTCACTACTGTCTTCCCTAATTGTATTTCATTATATTAGTAAAACTCATTGCAAAGTTTATTATTATAAACTTACTTCAGTTGTCTGCTACGCCTTCCTCTGCCTCTTACCATTACTGGATTTCCAAAATGTTCTGGATGTGTCAGTGGAAGTTGGTCTAATGTTTCACTCTCATTAAAATGTTTGCCACCTTTCAAACACAATGCAGTCCTTCTCAAAGTCATTATATCACCATCATCAAAAACTATAAAAAAAAATGAAATGTTTTATAAGAAGTCCAAAATAAAATTGATTTATAAATTACCAACTGTATATTGACTACAATCTTGTATTTTCATAATAGTTGCTTCAACATAGTCATTGTTGTCTGGATGCTTGGCTTGAACCAATTGTCCTACCCTTAAAGTTCCATTGATGTGTTCATCAGTTACTGTTGCTGTACCCAAGCCCATTTTGTATGAAACCTAAAAGCATTACACAACATTTAATTGGTTTTCTTATTAGTTTAATATAATGTGAATAAATACCTTGCATTTTACAATATGGACCACTTTACTGACTTTCGCTTCGCAAAAAGCTCCTTTGTATTTTGCACTGACTGCAGTTCCTACAGATAAGTAAGGAGGATCGTCTCCTTGCTACATACACCAAATATGAACAAATGATTAAAAGGGTTGTCATAACAATTTTGTAACAAAGATCACTTACCATTTTATGATTAAAATAAAACAGCCCACTATTAACTTATATCAGTCCAATAAATGAACTGGATTAAAAAGGGGGAAAAAGATGTAAATATTATGCATTCACAACGTCGCTAGGGTGAACGCATCGTTATTAGCACTGCACCACCGCGAAAGAAAACAGATTTGTACCAATTAATTAGGAAAATAATAGAACGAAAAGAAAAAGGAAAACAGAAATTGTGATGGTCTCCAATTGTTTGTGGCTTTGGTGAGCACTCCACATGTAACTATTGAAAAGTCATCTTTTCCCAATATACACACGCACATCCACTATGCTCACTCACAAACTCATCTGTGGAGAAACACTTCTTCTTTGATTAGAAAAAAGAAACGATTCCAGTCTAGGTGACATTCTGTCTTTGTCAAGTAACAGTCCTGAACAGGTTTGCCAGATTTTCCCAAATATGGAAAGCGTTGCAACGTCGCTTTCATAACAATATTTAGCGCCAGGCTCAATACCAATTCAACGAATTTATGCACTTTCACACTGTTCAATAAGGGTTAATATCGCTCACAGTATTACTTAGTCAGATATTTTTAATGGCACAGAAACAAACATAAACATCGGGTCACAGAGCTACCAACAAAACACTTGCTTATACCACTACAAAATTCCAAGTTAATTATAGATCATGATATATTGGTAAAATCATTATATATAACAGTAACAAACTTAATACCAACCTGTTTTAATACATTTTGAAATAAATTTACAAGTAGCAAAACTTAAAATTTTACTTTATCGATCAGAAAAACTAAAACTCAATTAAATAACAAATTATAATATTGATTAATAATATCAATTGCATTAACTTATTGCCCTTTCACATATCATAAAACAATTGTAAGAATATTATATAATATTCATACATCAATTTAAACTTTGTTAATAACAAAAATTGGATTTTTATTAATATAAAACTGAAAACTGTTATAGCTTATCTACAATTTATATAATGAGAATATAATATTTTCAATCTCTTAGTTTAGTTTATTCCACCAGTGTTACAAATAAAGTACGCATAAAATGTTTTATATCATTGGTTTAGGACTCGGTGATTGCAAAGACGTTACAGTTAAAGGTTTAGAAATAATAAAGAAATGTGAACGAGTTTATTTGGAGGCTTACACATCGATTCTAACGTGCGGCACCGAAGCTCTTGTAAATACGAACCTAACCTATAATATTGCACATGATCATTTGTTTACTTATTTTTTTCAGGAAGCTTTTTACGGAAGGAAGCTGATTGTAGCTGACAGGGATTTGGTAGAGCAAGGGGCAGATGAAATTTTACAAGGAGCAGCAACTGAAGATGTTGCTTTGCTGGTTGTTGGTGATCCATTTGGGGCAACCACTCATACAGATTTCATTTTGAGAGCCAAAGAAAAGGGCATTCCATTTCATGTGGTTCACAACGCTTCCATTTTAAACGCTATTGGTTGCTGTGGATTGCAGTTGTATAGCTTTGGTGAAACTGTATCTATTCCATATTGGACAGATTCTTGGCAACCAGACAGTTTCTATGAAAAGATTATGTCCAACTATGAGAGAAAATTGCACACCTTATGTTTATTAGGTATACATTTGTGATTCATTAAACAAATCACTAAATTATACATGTTTTGTAGATATCAAAGTGAAAGAACCAACTTTAGAGAGTTTAACAAAGAAGAAAATTGAATATATGCCACCTAGGTTCATGTCAGTTAGTGAAGCTTCTCAACAACTATTGCAAATTATTGAAAGAAAAGGCTGTGGTACATAAGAAAAAAATAACATTTTAATTATCATCATCACATTAAATATTATGTAATTTTAGGTTTAACGAAAGATTCGTTTTGCATTGGTTTGGCTCGCGTTGGTTCGGAAACGCAAGGTATAGTTGCTTGTTCCTTAGAAAAAATGTCCAGCTATGATTTGGGAGGACCTTTGCATTCCTTGATCATTCCGGGGACCGAGTTACATCCACTCGAACTTGAATACATTGATCAGTTTAAAGTGTAATTTGCAAATACGAATAAATATTTGAAACAGATGCGCTTCCTTCATTCATTCATAATATTACAAATTATAGTGTTAAAAAATGTCACGTTTGTTCAGGAAACGAATCATTTGCTCCAATTTCTAAAATAATTATACTTAAATTATTTCCTGTTTACTGAAAAAATATACAACCAAACAGTGTTGAATTCAGAACATGCAGATATATTTAATAAAAATAACCGGTATTCTTAAATCAATATTGTAAATAATCAATATTGGTAGAATGGTTTCATTCTTATAAGTTAAAGTTTAAATTAAGTTGAAAATGTAAAACTTGTTTTTTTTTTAAAGAAGTCAATAATTATATAGCACCAATAATAATTAAATATACCGGACTATTAAAAAAAATAATAAAAAAGAAAAACAAACTGTATATTTTATTGAAGAAATATTTTTTAACAGGTAGTTCTTCAAACAACAGCTGATTTTGACAAGCATTTAGTTACCTAAACAAACACCTGTTGGTTATGTTTGTCCACGTAGAAAAAAAAAGCACAGTTAATTTGGTTTCGTTTTCTAGTCTTTAGTTTCTAATGGACAATGGCGTTAAGAAGGTCGCGTGGTTACCAAGATATTGACGGTACAAGTGAAGCGGGTTCGACTATCACTCGAAATGAGGTATCGCAGGACACAGATACAAATCTCCCGCAGGAGATTGAAATGGCTTCAGTCTCTGTAGTTCCAGATGGTAATAATTCAGTATTTGTTAAGGAAATGAAGTCAATATGATAATTTTAAATTGTTTTTTTTTATAGTTGCTTGATTACTTCAAATATTTATACTGCTATGTTTACAATTATATCGTTCGATAATTACAGATACGTTTACCGTAAGTCAAGCAGTCAATGCCTTGGGATTCGGATGGTTTCAAGTGAAATTATCGTTATGGACAGGATTATGTTGGATGGCGGATAGTATGGAAATGACAATTTTATCCATTCTTTCGCCGGCTCTCCATTGTCATTGGCATATATCCAGGTATATTTTTTAATAAATAAATATTTGTTTATTTACATTTATACAAATGTATACAAATTTGGATAATTATATATATGCTAATTCGGTAGTTATATAATCTGTAACGCAACCCTACGTTACAAGCTATGATAGATTCAAGAAGTATATAAACATTTTATCAACAAGTAAAATTAAAGATAATACGAATTGAATAGATTATAAATGTGTGCATAGTGTATTTATTGCTTCATGTTTCTATACAATTCAGTTATTGATTTAATATATTAACAATAAATTTATTGACTTAGTGTGTTCAACTGCCGTTAAATATTATTAATATGTTGTATACTGTTGTTGTAATAGATCAGGGGAGGTCAACTTTTGTGTACATAAGATCTACCTTTTATCTTAAAAATATGTCGCGATTGACTTGTTGTCATAGTTGTTTAAGTGGGGGGATTTGTGAAATACATGCTATGTTTATATATCTACCTACGTAAAAACTAACGTAATTATTTAGTATACAGGGTGGCCCAATTGAACTGCAACCAACTTAAAACGCTGACAATCTTGTGTGACAAGCTTTATATTTTGGCCGAAAACCAAAACCAAAAGTGGCTATTGTTAGAGCCCTCATCACCTTAATGTGAATAAGTCTTTCGTATCTCGAACCATAACACGTTATAACGAAGCTAGTAGTATTATAAAATGCTATTTTGGTGGTCGGAAAAAAACTAGATCTGTGGCAGTAGTGGTCCGGAAATTTAAGGCTCAAATTTCCGAACTACTTCTGCCACTCAATGAAATCCGCGTCGCAGTGGAAGACAAAAGGCTACTCAGCTCAACATATCCAAAATAACAATGCAACAAATAGTCAATAACGAACTCAAAAATTAGGCTCGATAGAGACTAACCCGGTGGGTTAGCACGAACGCAACCAATTTCCAAATATCGTCTTGTCTGATGAGACAAAATACAGGGTTCTGAAAAATTGCAGTTTAATTGGACCGGTCGATCGCGATCGATTAGTTGGCCGCCCCTGTAATAGATCATCTATAATTTACATTGCAGTTTGAAATTATATAACGTTTTAAATGTAAGTATAAATTATAATTTATTTTGTTCATCAGGTATCAACAAGCATTAACAACAACTGTGGTGTTTTTGGGAATGATGTTATCTTCAACGTTTTGGGGAAATTTGAGTGATAGATATGGACGTAAACACGTATGAAAATCAAATCAAAATTAAAACAACTTTATTAACAAACATCATTTTAGGCTTTGAGTTTGTGCGCCGTATTGCTCTTTTACTACGGATTACTTAGCGCTATAGCCCCTAGTTTCATGTGGGTATTATTGCTACGAGGCGTGGTTGGATTTGCAATTGGATGTACTCCACAATCGTAAGTATATGATCTCACAAATTCGATTAATGTTGAATAACTGTTGTTTTGTAGTGTTACGCTTTATGCAGAATTTCTACCTACTAAGCAAAGGGCTAAGTGTGTTGTTTTGTTAGACGTAAGCTGTTCGTTTCTCACGTTGTCATTGTTAGTTTAAAGATTTGCATTTTTAGTGTTTCTGGGCTTTGGGTGCATGCTTCGAAGTAGCCTTAGCTTTAGTTGTCATGCCTACGTTAGGATGGCAATGGCTTCTAGCGTTGTCAACGGGTCCTCTCTTAGCGTTTGCTCTAATCTGTCCGGTAAGTATTTACTTCACTTATAATCATTCACTCTTAATCATTATTTTTAAATTCAAGTGGCTTCCGGAATCCGCACGATTTCACGTTGCCAGCGGCCAAACGGACAAGGCTCTGGAAACTTTGGAAAAGATCGCTAAAGACAATGGAAAACCAATGTTACTAGGAAGATTAGTGGTTGATGATGCTATGACCGATTCACCACATAGGGGTCGCATTAGGGATTTATTGGTACCTTCCCTAAGACGCACAAGTTTATTACTCTGGTTCATTTGGTATGTAATCATGAAAATTATTGTATAATGTATTAATATTGATGTTTAAGGATGTCTTGCGCTTTCTGTTACTACGGTTTGGTTCTGATGACGACCGAACTTTTCGAGACATCTTCGAACAACTGCTCGGATAATCTCAGGCCTCATTCCAGGATAGAAACTTGCGCTGCTGAATGCAGGCAATTGCAGACTAAAGATTACATGGATCTGTTATGGACTACTTTAGCAGAATTCCCAGGTTCTTATTTCTCCACAAGTATAAAATGCCCCCTTTTTCGAAAAAAATGGGTTCTAAAAACTTAAATTCCGAAAATTAAGTTGCGTCTTATGGGAGAATCTTATACTTGGTGCAATTTGGTAAATTATATTTATATATGATTTTTTGTACAGGTATCTTCGCTACGATATTTACTATTGAAAAATTCGGAAGGAAGAAGACTATGGCCGTCCAGTTTGTCATTTACGCAGTTTGTGTATGCTTCTTGGTAGTCTGCACGGAAAAGTAATTAGTTAATTAAGATTTTTATTTAAATTTATTAATTGTTTTAATCAATTTTAGGAGAGCTTTCTTGACTTTCATGCTATTTTTGGCCCGAGGAATAATCGCTGGAGTTTTCCAAGCAGCTTATGTTTATACGCCGGAAGTTTATCCAACGTCTTTAAGAGCAGTCGGCGTTGGTTCTTGCAGTGCTATGGCAAGATTAGGAGCGATGGTTACACCTTATGTAGCGCAGGTTGGTCGAAGGAATTCTCTACTTTAGCGTGTGTAATTGATGTATAATTTTGTTATTAGGTTCTATTAAAGACGTCCGTGAGCTTCGCGACATCAGTGTATGCTGTGGCAGCTTTATTAGCTGCAGTGGCTTGTATAGTTCTACCAATAGAGACTCAAGGAAAGGAGATGTCGGAAAATATTCATCAGCATGAACGATCTAATAATCAATCAACGAACAACTAAGAAGTGATCAGCGACACGAGACTACTACAGTATTAAGATTTTAATTTATTTGTTTTTGTTAATACCAAAGTGAATGAAATTCATTTTCGACAATACCAATATTTATATGTTTGTTTACGTGATGTTTATACAAGGTGCTGGTTTTTTATATGTTTTATTAATTTATTAAAAAAAAATACGTAATAACAAGTTTACTAGTAATATTTTAACAGACTTTAGCCAAATAAGTTGGAATTTTTGAAGGATGTATAAGAGTTTAATTTGCAAATTACGAAACAATACACGCGAATTGCAAATAATGGAAATCGTTTTATATTAATATTAATGGGAAATTAAGCAAGAAGGTACACGCAAAGAAGAAAATCGATTCAATAAAGTTCAATTTGTGTGTGTCTTTCTTATTGTTCGGTCGAGTCAGGTCGAGTGTATTCATTTAGCGGCAGTTTGGGAATACCCCCCACCACGAAACGGCGCGTGATGACTGTCATCGAATGTCAAAGCGAATGTCATTGTGTGAAAACTGTCAAATAACGCGGAACAGTTGAAAAGAGTTAGTAAACATTATGCGTGTTTTGCTGAGTAAATAAATGCAGACACAATTTCGTTAATAACATTGACATTGTTCAGGAGACCTTGGACTGGAATACCTGCATTTTTTCTCAGGTTATTAATTTACCTCCACATGTAAATCCAAATAGCATGTATTCACTATTGATTATAATTCATGTTGAATAATTAATATATATATATATGTGTTTGTTTGTTTTTTGTCTCATTCTTTTCTTTCAGTTAATGTAATAGTTTGTTCCCACCGTCAGGATGTCAGTGAATCAAATAACTCAGAGCAGTAAGGGTCAGAAAGGCAAGAGAACATCCATGAATCGACCACAGAGCACTGTCGATGGAGACATTTACATTGGCTTCAGGTCAGACTTTGATAATGAAGCTAACACTCCAACATGCAGAGTCAGGTTGCACAATCTGTTCAGGCAAATCGAGAAGGAATTTGATTTGCTTTACCAAGAGAATCAAAACTGTAATGTTACATTTTCATAGTTGTGGATCATTTAATTAATCCTTATGTATTTTTTAGTACATGATAAAATTGAACTGCTGAATGAAAAAATTGAAAGTGCTAGCTATGATAAGCAGACCTACGACTGTATGGATTTTGATAATAATTTTCCAAAGTTACTCAACAAAAAATGTAAGTTAATATTATTTACATTTATTATAAATTTATTGTCAATGCTATTATTTATAGTAAGTACAACATCATCGCAAAAGTTGAAAACAGCACACAAATTGAAAGCACAAACTAGTAAAATTGTGTCCAGTTTCAAGGCCCCACATATGAATTGCAACTTGCTTAAGGAATATATTGGACACAAGGATGGTGTTTGGGAAGTCTCTGTGGCTAGACCAGGCCAACCCATTATTGGTACAGCATCTGCAGGTAACATTTACTTTATTTAATTAAGCAAATATCAATATAAAAAGAGTAATGTAATTACATTTACACTAATGTTAATAGTTTAAGAAACAAAAATAAGTATAAAGTTTCAGACATTTAAATATTGAGATTAATAACATCAAAATATTTACTACTGTAAATAACTGATACGAAATTGTTTGAGTCCATCAAATCAAAGTAAACAATCTAAAAATTCAACAAAATCGAGTCTTGCTATGGACAGAAATTATTACAAAAAGAAAGTATAATTTAATTTTAGATATTTTATATAAATATTTTCTGAGTATTATCAAACATTATTAAATATTTAGAATAATATAAGAATAGTATGCTGCTTTTGTATAAAAACTGCTTGTTTATAAATTTCCATTAAACTGAAAATAACTTTTAGGCAAAATAATGGTGGTAATATAAAATCTATTTTCTTTCTGGAATGAAGGAAATGACATTGAACCTTAACATACGCTTACATTGCATTGGAAATATGAACATGTAAGACTACGTATGTAAATTGCTCATTGTTGGTGCCACTTTAAAATAAATCATTTAGTAATGGAATTTTAATTGAACTCTATTTATGGCCCTAATGTATGGAGTAATACGCACGAAAACGTAAACGAGTTCAAACAAATTAAGGCAAAATTGGGCCAAAGTCGAGCGAAGTATTTACTCCGTGTTTTGTACATTATATACCCTTAAAATGGATTAAATGACCATTTATGCTTGCACGTCAGAAAATAATATTAAATATTGAATAAAGGTTACATCATTGGCAGAAGCGATATTGTTTTGGAGAGAGGGGGTAGCTAGTAATGGAATTACGGGATTTTTTTTAGATCGCGAGGGGCTGGACCTTGAACTCACGTGTCTGTGGTTGCATTACGTATGATCGTCCAGGCAAAGTGGTGCGAACTCAATATGCCATATTTACATAATTAATAGTAACGACAGTGAACCTCATGTCCAATCTATCGATTGAGAAAATAATTCTATTGCCGATCGCTTGCGTGCATACATTACGTGTCTTTTATAGAAGATCACTAAATTGCAAAGCAATTTATCTCTAATTAAAATAGTTACCATCTATCGTTAATTGTCGCTGTTCCTATTAAAAACTTGAATATTTGAATATCAGAATTTGATCTAATATATATTTTTGTTATTATTCTATGTGAAATAAATTATTTAATTACAGTAATTTATTTTTGTAATTAAACAGTTTTAGAATATGTTTAGTAACAATATTAATTAAAAAAAAACAATTTGAAAATAAGTAATGTTTGTTCTACAATCAAATATCTTTTTGTCATGTATTTATAAATGTTACTAAATGTATATAGTCAAGAAACGCGTGCGGCTCCGTTTGCCGACCTCAGGGTTAGATTATAAATTGTCACTAGAAGTGTAAATACCTGCGAAATTATATATGAAACTACGTAATACTTGGCAAGTATTTAAAAGATACTTCTCAAGTATATATTCTGGATATACATAGTTTTTCTCAATTACCAAATACCATACTTGTATTTATTCAAATACATTTTAACATATTAATTATTGCAATGGATCATTGAATAAGTAAAGACAAACTATTAATTTTATGATGATGTAAATAAAATGAGATTCATCGTAAATTTCTCACAGAAAAACAGTTATTAAATTTATTATGAACGACACTTAAAGTGAGCGAATTTAATAGATGATAAAATAAGTATAGCATACTTCTCATAGTGCGGATTCATTATCATACGGTTTGAAAATTTCAAAACAAATTATATATTAATTAAATAGATATAAATTCTTAACAACTTTATTTATTTTCCATGTATACTAAAGTCCTCGATTAGTCGGGTTACAAACATTGCGATTTATTGGCGGAACCGATAGTTGTAAAATCGCGTATCACTTGATAATTTTCTATTTTTTATTTCTATTTCGAGTTGTTTCTTTCATTGTACGTTTCTTAGTTTTCAATCTATATTGTTTATTTGATTTTGATGCATTTTATGATTCATTGACTACAAATGATAAATTATAATATATTAATAATAAGTGCTTTTAAATTTTATCTTTTTTTTATTAAATATTATATTTTTTTTTCTACTTAGATCATACGGCATGTGTTTGGAGCATGGATACAACCCGGTGTCTTCTTCAATATCAGGGACACAGTGGATCAGTAAACTCGATTAGGTTTCATCCCTTGAAGGATTTGGTTTTAACAGCTAGCGGTGATGGATCTGCGCACATATGGCAAGCTGTCGTTAATTGGGATTTGCCGGTAAACTATACAATTATTACTATAAATTATATTGTTCCTTAATGATTTAATATTAAAGGGGCAGTCGTCAGAGGAGGAATTGGAAGGCGACGAATGCGATGATCGTTCGGATACGAGGGTATCGACATTGAGAACACCGGTGTGCGAATTGGGTGGTCACATGGGAGCTATTTCAGCAGCTGAATGGTTGGCAGGTAAAGTCAATATTATTTTTTTTTGTAATATTTCAAGTATCAATTGATAACGCAATTGGTTTATGTTGCAGGGGCGGATCAAGTTATCACTGCTGCATGGGATAGATTAGCTGTGCTGCACGACGTTGAAACTGGGTTAGTTCTAACAACATTATCAGGTGATTTATTATAGAATTTAGTAAGTAGTAAGAATAACTAACTGTTATTCTACAGGACATGATTTGGAATTGACTCACACTGCAACGCATCCCATTCAAAAGTTGGCTGTGACTTCATCAAGAGATACAACCTTCAGGCTGTGGGATTTCCGAGATAACGTCAATTCCGTTTCCGTATTTCAAGGACATACAGAGTAAGAAAAGTTTTTATTAATATATTTTAGATGAATATCTTTCTCTTTTGCGCGATATAATATAGTTGCCGCATTTGGACCACATATTTTTATTTAAATTTAAAAGTGGATGGAAGAAGACTTCTTCTTAGTTTTTTCACATACAACTACAAAAAGTGTTCGTTTTTATTTTTGGAAATTATTCTTGTTCAATTATTTTCGTATCTGGATTTATAGGAATTGTTTGTTATAGCAACAACAGACTATTTTCTAATTGGATTGGTCCAATGCAGGCAACATAAAATGTGGTCCAAAAAAACTGCTCTTCAACTGCGTATACAACGCGCTCAGTCAAAGAAATTATTGCAACAATCAACTTAAAGTTTAGGCAACTTATGTTGGTTACTACATGATTCAAATTCTATATCCAAGTAGGGTTGCCAGATTTGTTGGTAGTCAAACCGGGACAATAATGGCTGATCGTTGTCCCGGTTTGACAATCTCGGACAAAAACAAAAAATCACACATATGATGTCACGAAAGTCTTGAAAGATATAGCTCACACATGATTTCAGACTCATAATCGGGACACCTGGCAACCCTATATCTAGGTAAAGTAACCTAGACGCCGATCGATCTTATGCAACTCTTATTTTGTATCGTTTTGAAATCTACATAAGCTAATCTTTTAATTATAATAGGAGCGTAACATCGACAGTTTTTACAAGAGAAGACAAAGTGGTCTCTAGTTCTGACGATCGCAGCGTGAAAGTTTGGGATCTGAGGAACATGAGGTCTCCTGTGGCAACAATCCGTGCCGATTCCGCCGTAAACCGGATATCCGTGTCAAACACAGGTGTAATCGCGATACCACACGATAACAGACAGGTTCGATTGTTCGATCTGACTGGTCAAAGGTTGGCAAGGTTGCCTAGGTCCAGCAGACAAGGACACAACAGGATGGTGGCTGGAACCGCTTGGGCCGAGGACAATGCGAGCGGGGCGAATCTCTTCACTTGCGGTTTTGATAGGAGGGTGATCGGCTGGTCCGTCCAATCCCTCAAAGATATATAATTGCTGCTCCTCAGAAACAGCAAAGTATTATTTTAAGGAATAAAGAAACATTGTACTCGTGTTTATTATGTACATAGTTTAAAAACAATCTACTTTTTTTTATGCAACCAAAAAAAAAACAGAAATGAAAAAATAACTTTGAAATTATTTTTATGTTTAACTAATTAAGGAGTAATTATATTATAGTTTAAAATGAATGCTCCTGAAAGGAGTTGTTATGTTTCTGAAAATTGAATGTTTCTTTATTCTTTCCTCCTTTAGGCTCAATATTTATAATCTCGTAAATCCTTTCCGAGAACGAACGAAACTGAATTTGAACGAAACATAAAATAATGTATGTATATCATAATAATGTTAGTTACTAAGAATAGCTTGAAATCTTGTGATATAATATTTTATCTAGTATATTCTACTTCCAATATTCTATTATAAATTATGACGTTTTTTTCTTCTTTAAATCTATATCATTAAAATATTGTAAAAAAAGATAAGGGATATCTAGTCAATCAGAGTTTAAAAATTATTATTTTCAAATATATTTACACAAAATAAAAAATTAAATAACTACATAGATATAAGGAAAATATATTTCTTTAATAGAAGAAGTTTATTATGAAACTTGATTAGAAGAGATTAGTATTACAAATTGTTTATGAATGTAGCTAGTGTTGCAAATCCGCACTTACTAACTCGCATTGATATGTACTCGTTTTCAACCTATTTCACCGAAGGTTACATCATGGGTCAGTAAAAAGAAAACATGTTTGGAATGTAACTTAGTGCCATTGTTTTCCCACCCCCTCATCGCCATCATTATTTGTTTATATAATGTGATTTTCGATTAAGATTTAGCAATATGACGAAATGCTCTTCTAATTCTACTCTAGACGAGCATTCAAAATGCCGCCATTAATAATTGAAGCATATCAAGATTTGATCGCTCATATAAGGATTAGGGGATTTTTTTCTTATACTTTTGAACAAATTATTATTTTGACCTAATATTTCTATTTTTATGATCGCTTGAAAAGGTGATTTAATAATTTTTAATTATATTAATATGCAAATAAAAATAATGTTATCGCATTCATGTTTAGATAGATTATGGGTATTTTCTGCATTTGGAAAATCACTTTTTTTTACACTATTTTAGATTGCAATGCTACAGTTGGCAGTTAATTGATGTAGAAGAGCATTTTAGCAAACGCAGAAGTATATATTATTTTATATGGATTTGGCAATACTTTGGTAAAACTTTCCTTGTTTTTTTTCTGTTTCCGTTTATTTTCTTGAAATGTTCGATGTAGTAATAGGTATAGTTTATCGGGTTTCGTTTTTATGAAATGTACTGGCTTGAAAGATATTTCGAAATTTGTTTCGTAACTAATAATTACTATTATATGTATTAAGAAAACAAAATAAAGTTGATTATATTACAGCAGTCGTATTTTTGTTTGATTTTAAATGATTTTCAGCTTAATATTTATTGTAGAAAAAGGTGTAAAAAAGTAGATTAACTTTGTTTTTAAATTATTTTATAAAACTAAACTATCTTATACATATTCAATTTATTTTAAACCTAGAGAAAATCCTTTTTGCATAGAGGACAAGTCATCGATGATTGCAAACATCTCTTCAGACAATGTGGATGGAATAGATGGCTGCATGGAGTTATCCTCGCTTTGCTCATCCTCTCCAAGCAAACAGCGCAAATATCGTCCCATTTGTTAATATCCTTCTCATCCGCTATCCTGAAACTTGCGAAAGTTTTCCTCTCCAGTTGCAGAGGTTGCACGTAGTTCCAGATCAGGTTTTTTGTCGACAAATAGATCGTGAGGTAAGCGGATACGAACACGAAACCCAGGTATTTTCTGAGACACAGAATATACGATATTACGGCCACATTCAAAGCGATTCCGATGACGTGCAGGATGATGGGCACTATCAAATGTTCCAATGAATCGAAGCGAACGTAATTCAATAGTCGCGTGATTGCGACGAAGGTGTCGACGTACAATTTCTCGGTGCACAGGTAATACGTAAATGTTACAGACGAGTACAGAACGTCGAAATGATACTCGAAGCCTTGCTCCCTCATGCACAGTACAACTATTGCTGCTTTCGCGAATTCCAATACCACTTTCATAAAGTTGAATAGGCTTCCATGTCTTGTCAGCCTCCCGGTTGACGTTTGGTAAGTGTCTCTGATTTTCGTTGCGAAGTAGGTAAATATCAAGTATAGGAGTAGAGTGGTCAGACCGGAAACGATTTTACCACTTTTTGGCTTGGAAATTTCTTGTTTCAGCAGTGCAATATCACAAAGAGTGAAGAAGAAAAACTGAAAATAAATATAATTTTTTTTAATAATGGTGGAAGCGCCAGGAATAAGAACATTTACAATGGCTCACATCCATTATCTTATTGCTGTTTATAATTATTATAACTAGTTACTTATAATTGTTGACTATTCTACATTTTAACTAGTTAATTCATCAACTACGATATAGATATTATATTTTTTACCTGTATTTATTTCATTTTATATAATAACAACAATAACAGTTATTATATTATGTAACTACAAAGTATTAAAAAATGAAATGTAAATTAACTTTGAAAAACCAGTATTTCATAAAATACTTAATTGCTATACAAAGTATAGGTATTATAAACTTTAACTGTATAATATACAGGCCCCACCGGTATTTGTAGAAATAATCCAATAATTCATGAATTTGTTTAAAAAAAATAGATACACTTTAAAAAAATGTTTTTGGCCCCTCCTGTTGTTATAGTCACCAGCCGCTACTGATAAATTATCAGTGGCGGCTGTGGCAGTGATAATAAACATATCTAAGATTTAATATAAAATGTAAATTGTTACCTCATGTAGTAATTTACTAGAATACTTATCTACAAAAGATATTCATAAAACATACCTGGCACATAAAGGTATATAGACCAGACATCATGAGGAACATGCGTTCAGCAGCAATTATCTCTTGCACCGTTCGTTCAAGGACAATGTAAATGATTCCACATATTAAAAGTGTCACGTCTAAAACAAATAATGTAAGAAGTAAAAGTATAATTGATCTTCGATTTGCGCAAATATTTACGGGAAAAATCTGTACGCGAGACTAAATTAAATGCATGTTTGTTCACCTATGAATAGTGTTGTTGTGATGGAGAGGATGGCTCCAATCCAAGTTTGCCGGGCATCGCTTGGAGCATCTTCGTGCATTTTCTATTAACCAATTTTTGTTTTCTTTAAATTTTGTTGCTCACAGAAATTTGGACGATGATACCATTAAAACGTCATTTTGAAGAAGCACATGTCATTTTTGATATATACACAAAAGGTTTTCAATGGATGACGTTTTGTTCATAAATAAGATTTTCAATAATAAATATTTTGATTGCACAAATTTGCAATTTATTAAAAACAAGCTTTGCATGTATTATAATTGATTGAATGAATGAATGTATTAAATAATAAATATTTTTGGCTCGTATTTGGAAAATAATGAATTACATAAATTTATACTATTTTGAAAAAAAAAATGCGTTACACGTTGTAATTTATTAAATATATTACATAATAAATGTTCTTGGCTCGAACTTGGAAAATATTATAATAAACAATTTAATGTTTTGGAGAGGACACAAAAATATGTATTAAAAATAGTACAACTTAGATTGTAATAATGGAAATGAAAAATTTAAAACTTTTTTTTGTAAATAATAATTCAAGTAATTGTTGGATACAATAAATTGAGAGTCATTATGAAATAAATAAAATTCTTACGTTGTTGCGTTTTGGTTTGGGTGGGATTTGATAATGAATGTAAAAATACATTTAGTAAATATTTTTATTATATATCACAAACATATAAAAATGCATCACATATAAAACACAAAGGTGAATAAATAAATCGATATAAACTTATATACTAAGTACTGTTGACTAGAGACATATGTAGTATAGTAAGTAAAACAATTCGTTTCGATAATTGTCGTTGCAAACATAGAGTTCTCTTTTGAAAGAGGTTTTTTTTATATAAATTAGGTTTCTACAACTACATTGTGAAAAAAATATAATATATGTATATGAAATCTAAAACAAATAAGTCAGTCAAGTAGTTAACACGATGATATTAAGTTAGTAGATGAAGATGTACTCCCTTTTGCAGATTGGACAGTTGTAGGAGTTGTTCAGGCATTGCCTCAAACATTCTGCGTGGAAGAGATGTTGGCAAGGAGTAATACGTGCTCTCTTCATCGGACTAAGACAAACGGCGCATACGTCATCGCAATTTTCGATTTCCTCGAGACTGGCTTTCCGAAATTTGCCCAAAACTTCTTGCTCTTTACGCAAATTCTTCAAGCTATTCAACACCATATCCTTACCCCTCAGATAAACAGTCAGATACAAAGCTATGAAACCGAACCTAAGTTGACCATAGAATAACAGAACTAGTGCAAGCAAACATGATATGGAAATAGTGTAATATCTTAAGATAACAGGCGCGTAAAGGTGTTCCAATGCTTCTAATCGCTGGGAACGTAAGAGCCTCAAGAGACTTGGAAATATTTCAACGAAAACACGCTCCGTGCACATGTAATAGGTCCAAGTGATGAAAGTGTAGATAGGCGTCGGTTGGTAATGTTCCAAACCCTGCTCCAATCCGAAAACCAGGAGCGTGAATGTTACAGTTATTATGAAAGTGATGGCTTTGGTCCATTCCAAGACGATTTTCGTGGCAGACATCGCTACGTGTTTGATGTTACTGTGAGTGGTCATATTCACGTAAGGTGACCAATCTTCCTTTTCAATCAGCTCTTTTATGTACGAAACGCAGTACGCGATCACGTTATAAAACATCAACGAATATAAACCGGTTATTCTCTTCTGAGGACACAATAGTCCTCCGAAATTGCACAGAAGGACTCTGTCACAGCTCATGAAGAACACCAACTGCGAAAGGAAAATACAAAGTTATTAATCTAAAAGATTATTTAGAAATTATAAATGTACCTGTATTGCTAAATTGGATATATTTTTCATCATCATGAAAATTCTCTCGCAACGATCCAACGGCGAATATAGCTTCAGCATTACTCTCCAAATCGGCCCGGATATCTTTTTCAATAAACCTGAAAACAAGTTTTTTTTGTTTGTTTTTCAATACAAATTTGTACATTTACAATCAGAGCAAATATGTAGTAATCGTGTAAGTTGTTCTGTGTATAATTAAAATAAACATAGTTTCATAGTGAACAGAAATTCTTTTGTTATCAATCCAACTATTAATTACGTTTCTAATCACGTCTAGCCTATCTGAAGCCGTCTAAAAATAGATGAGGCAGTGCTATTTTCAGAAAACAATATATCTATATAATTATTAATCGGCTATGGATTGCCGCCGATGATCGGTTTTGAGGAATTGTATTCGGAATTCCAAGAAAACGTCGAAAACATTTCGGGGATCTCGATAAGACTTCAATGGACCTTTTATCTGTACGAGTCGACGATAACGTGGTCAACAGGAGTACACGTCCAAGTCATGGAACTTAGCATAGTAACAAGCATCTCGGGCACGAATGGAAATAATAACATCGCTTCTTGTTTTTCTTCTCTTTTTTTTCGATTGCTTCCATTTCTAATGTCTCTTTGCTGACATGCCGCTGATTTTAATTGTGTGCTCGTTGATGGGTGATGAAATTAAGAGTTGCATCTGATCACACGCTTCGGTGGTCGGAAAAAGAGGGCTTTCTTATAATTCTCAATTTAGTTGCGCATCAATTAGAAGAGTGTCAGTTTGCAATTGACAGCTCGATTAAAAATTTTAAACACGTTACAAACAAACAAAATAATATCCAATACTTCTGAAAGTATTGTATAACTATTATTATTATTATACAAACTAATGCACCAAAATAATTATTGCAACTACTACGAATACAGTGATAATTGGAATCAATTATATAATTACATGCATTTGTCTCTCAATTAATAAAACGACCTATAATAATGATATAAATATACACATTTGGAACATGAACTCAATTATTTTTTATGTTTATTTAACTCTTTGAAGCACATTTTATCAAAAGTGTACATAGTTAATAAAAATTAAGTGTTTAATTATAAAGGACATTAATTAACCCTTTGATATATAATGACGTATCCCAGCCTTCCAAAGTTTATTACGCAATAAAAATAAGAAAGTTTTATAAAAACAATAAATCTAACGGTATTATATAACGAAGTGTTGTAATTCAAGCAAACTATATTTCTCGTTGTGCCCTCAAACAAGTACTAAATAATGTTTTTTTTTGGAATGATAGTAAAAGAAACAAAAAGATATGTTGCAGATTAAGTAGTCTTTAGTATTTCTTAATTTACTAATAAAAAAAGGCCGATGAACCTGTAAGAAATAAACAGAAAAACTTTATTTTACTGCTTCAAGTTTAAAAAATATAATTCCATGTACATTTTGGTATGAAAAGTTCCACTTATTAATGATTTTAACTTTGCAGCACTTCAACTTTAATTAGTTAATTAATTGAGGTTTTTGTATTAGTGATTTGGTATTGTTTGTAAAAAAAATATATCTAAACGGAAAGATTTATGGTAATATTATTATTATCAAAAATATGATTGATTAATATAGATAAATTTACATGCACAAATTTGTTTATAATTTCAATTTCTATAACAAATTGATAATTTACTAAAAAATTAGATTAATTTTGGATCGATTTGATTCAGTCGAAATATAGTATTTCTAATTTGTAAATAAACAAGACGGAAGTGCCAAACAAGTTAAAGAAAAAGTATGAAAGTTCACGCACTGATAGACAGTGCAATGCGTATATGTGGACATGCATCATCATAATAATAAAAACATGATATAATATTATCAATTGTCTGCAAAACTAGACTGCTTAGCTATAGTGCTATAAATACAGACGGCTATAAATAAAAATAATGCGCTGGATCATATTACCGAGTTTGGAGAACTGAATAAGGTCAAATTTTCCTTCCAAAAAGTCAGTTAATAATTACAGTAATACCAATATTTGAAACCAGACTAATCGAGGAACTAAATACATACTAAAAATAAACCGCACAAAAAGAGACTGATCATATGTAATAATCTTCAAACCAGACTGTAGTGAATCCGGACTATGCTGTATGTCTTTCGTTATGTCTATACCGAAACATATATAACTAGTTTATTTTTTTGCTATGTCTGTACCAAAACATATACAGCAAGTAGTTGGCATGAAATGGAAGAGACTTGGCAAATAACTATATATTTGTTTGGATTGAAGCACTCGAAAATATATTTAGTAAACTATCTTATTTTTTTTTTAAACAATTGAAACCTTTCAAAATATTTAGTATATAGTATTTTTAACTCTGTTTAAACTAGCAAGTGTTTATATTACGTTATAATAATTAGATATGTAAGTTATTTAAGGAAAGAAGTACTAATTATAGTATTTTTTCCATTATAAGACGCACAAATAAAATTTCTTAGAAACGAGGTACGTCTTATGATTTAAAGATTTGTTCTATTTTCCAAAAAGCTTCTATTCTGAATAGATCTTTGTTTATGTTAAGTCTTTTAATAAAATAGCCTGTTCACATCATTCAAGATTTTTGGGAAAGACCACATACAATATAAGTACAGGTATAGCAAAACAAAAAATTAAGAATACTATACAACATTAAGAAACATTCGAAAATGCAATCATTCACAAGATCACAACAGAGCGGAAAGACCAAAACAACCTATTAATACCAGAATGATACTGAAAGAAGATGAAATACAAACGAATACCGACATGAATAAAAGAAACCCACTTTTAACTTGTAGAAAGGGAAAAATGACCTGCGTCAAGTATCAAATAAGAAATATATAATGGAAAGAAGTGTTGTGGTCAAGGTAGCACAATGAGTAACTTGCAGAAAAGAAAGTGGAACTAAATACAGTAAAATATGAAAAAAAGGTAAAAGAATTCTACAAAAAAAAAGATACATAAGATAACATAATTTCCCATCGATACTAAGAAACCCGCTTTGTCGATAGTCCTTTGCGCTGGTTATTAATTGTTAACTCTTTCTATAACATTGTGCAATACATTTTGTTTCTTATAATTTTTGTAATGAAATTAAACTATTTAAGACATACTTAGATCAATTGTTCTATTTTTTGGTTGTATTATAAGTTTTGTCATTCAAATATCATTCTATCTATCTATTCAAGATTTTCTTCATTTTTTTTTTAGATTTAGCACTTAGAAATTAAAACACTGGCTAATATAATAATTTGGTTTCGACGAGATTTGCATATAATTTATAATTAGAATAATTCTTTCAATGTTACTCCTAGTCTATAGATTCTGCTTTAAAAAAATAATAAATATAAAGATAGTTTTAATTTAAAAATTCATTTACTACAATCTTTTTGTTGCTCTTAAATCTTAAAAACTATAGTCTAGACAGCGTTTTTCAACCTTTTTGCCGCGTGACCATACATATTTGTTTTTAGTTGTTCAGCGACCCAATTGATAAGAAGTATTTCAGCAGTTCCTTGCTTTGACAGAAGGTGACAGTAGACATTTTCATAGATTGAGAAACGATGATTTAGTATATTTGAAGTATTAATTATATCATCAAGAAAAACTAGTCAGAAGCAAAATATGTTTTGTTCAGTTATTGTTTTTAAAAATTTAGTTTATAGCCATTATTTTAAAAAAATATATTGACGAAATTAAATTACAGAAATAAACTCCAAAAAGGCAAAAATTCCCTCGCCGTTTTTCTTCTCTCTTTAAATGATTAATATAGAAACCGAAATTATGCAACAACGTGCAGATGTTCTTTTCTTGTCGTTGTTTACACAATAAAATTGTTCGCGGATAATGATAGGTTTCACTGTATTGGCTCAAAATATAATAATCGTTGCATCATCGTGTCACTGTTATATGGTGTTTCGTGTCTGCATTCGTTATTTCAACTCAATCATGCACATGTGAATCCACGAAAAGGAAATTAATTAAAGACATACCACAAGACAAAGATATTTGAATAATGAAATAATAATAATAATGATGACAATAATAAAAAAAATGGAAGGAATCTATGCCGCATTAATCATTGATAAACCAGCTGGGAATAAATATTTATTATCACATTTGTAAAGAAGGAGGTATAGTTTGATGAAGCGCGTTCTCGATCGAAAGTTTTGTTATTATTATTTGATTCCAAAACTGTGTTTCGTTTAGTTTTTGTGCATTGATTGTGTATATTAATTGGTCGATGTGTAATAGCAGTTTGTGCGTGTTGTGTTGTGCTCTTCTTATTTTTTTGCACGTCACTGGCAATTTGCATCAAAGAGGAGATTAAGTGACGCGGATTATTGGCGTTCAATCTAAAAGCAAAGGGTGGCGTTTTGGTATAAAAAGTGCACCCTTGCGGTGTATTCCTCACAGTTCCGACTTCATCCACCGTCGTCCAACACCACCAGATTTCGATCTCTCCTGCTTTTGGTGAGTTCCTCAAGTAACTATTCTCGGTACATCATTTAACAACATTCACATAAAACATGTATTATTCACATTTTTTTTTTTTAAATATCATCAACATTTGAAAAACAAATTACTTTAAACATTATATTCAACACAACAAACATTAGAAATGCTTTTGTTACCATTTTTAAATAATATTTTTTTGACAATATTAAATTTTCTAATTGAATTATAAACAAATAAGTTTAGAAAAATTAAACTAATTATCATTACAATCATTAGTACCAATTATAAAATATAATAAATTTCAAATAATTTCATAAATATCTTATTGGTACAAGCTACTTTGAATGAAATATACTGAAAATAACTCATTTCAATTGTAGCGCCATCTCTCGGGTGGAAACAAATACATTAAATGGCGGTGATAATCCAACAATCGGATGCACCAATTGTTCAAACATTCCTCTGATTGGTTTAGAAACAAATTGTGGTTCATTTTCTTAAACCTATGAATGACTATATTCAACCTTCGCCAAAATCTTGGCACAAGAACAACATTCGAAATTGACGATTCGTCGAAACGCTTGCAAACAAGACAAAGCACATTTACGTCTTCAATTTTTCTTTATTCGGATCAGTCATTTCATGTGTTTCTATAGTTAAATTATCACGTATTTAAGTTTGATAGTTAATTGTAAACTCTAAATTCTGAATGTTTATTTTAGATTAAATTAGATAATTGAAGTAAAATTTGTTACTATATTTATATTTGATATTAGTATTTGTAAAGTAATGTGAATTCTTAGCTTTTTTTTTAATTTAAAGAAATTTAATGATTTGATTATTTTTATACACTTAAGCGATTAAATGTAGTCTTTGTTTAACTATCGCTATAATTCAAAGTTCAAGTTGAAATATTACCTGGAAGTTTGTAGAATACATTTTTCAACCATCTTGTAGGATACTTGTAGTTGGCAGAAATTAATAGAGGTATAACCAGGCAAGAGTAGGTAGCCACGCACCATCCTCCAAGACTCAACAATAGTGGAGCATGTCCTCTCGAACAATAAGGCAACAAGAATAGAACGGACAGCAAACAAACTAAAACAAAATATTAGAATCAAATTTGCGAACAATAACACACTTCAACAATATTCTTTTATTTCTGAAAAATGTACCGATAAATTACTCAGAATGTTGCAAAGATAACGATATTTGTCTATTTCTATATTTATCACACACTTATTATGCCAATCCTAAAATCGAATGATTCATCATAGAACTTCTAAAATAATCCAACATCAACAAAATATTTACTTCGATAAAAAGAAATATTTATAATTAATCGAAAACCAATACAAAGATTTAGATTAATATTGTTTTCAATCTAATAATATTGAATAAAACAGTAAAAGTTTCTTGAATTTCCACAAAAAAAAACGAAAGTATTATTTGTTTTTCTGCAGCAAATGTCCTCGACTGTATTTATAATTCATATCCGTAGTATTTTTAGAGAGTGCACCGGATCAAAATCAAATTTTCGAATCATATTTTCGTCTACACGTTCTTTTTATTCCTATTCGATGCGGCATAAAAATAGCTGCGGTTTTGTATTCGCGGAATTTCCAAAATGTAAATAAACTAAAGGAGGCAAAGGACGAATCAGTAAATATTCGCTGCTTGATCTCACTGCAAATATGTCTTTCGTTCACTAAAACGTTGCTGAAAAATATGTTTTCCAGATTACAATAATCTCAATTGATTCTTAAAATAAATTTAACATAAATATTTTCTATTAGATGATTCTGCGATTATTCATGTTGGTAACATTTTCAGTATATTAAACGCAAATATAAAGATATTTGTATAAATTTTCAATAAGTGAATTATGTAGTGTGAAATAAATTCAATTAATGCTTGATTTTCGTATTTATCAATGAATGTAAAACACAGTAAATCGAATATAAACATACGGAATAATATTTTTCTTTATCGTAGAAAGGCGAGTGATTTCGTATTAAACATCAATTATCAGTTACATGTGAACCTGCGAATATAAATGGTTAAAACTAGAAACAATTAAAATACAAATTTAATCAAATAAAACGTAAGTGATTTCCATTGAAATTCATAATTATTTCATTTTCTGTATTCTAACGAAATTTTATTTTTTTTTGTAAAGAAATTATATAACAGTAATTTCAAAGTATTGTTATCTTCAACTGTAAAAATTATTCATTTTGTAATCACATGTTACAGTTACTATTTTGTATAAACGGTTTTTACTGTTCAATAGTTAAAATACTAATATTTGTATTGTGAGAATTAAATTTTACATAATCATCTTTAAATGCAGATTCGGTTCTATAGAATCAGGATTAGTTTTATAAGTTGAAGATGTTGAGATTTGAAGAACTGTATTACCTTTTGTATGAATTCTCACGTAAGTTGAAACACCCATAGTACCAGAATCCCTAACATTTGAAACGTTAAGCATTTCTCTGGCTCTGAACTAAAACTGGGATAGACTAAGTTGCGCGTGGCGCGAAAATCGTATGATTCCAAGACTGCTAACGTTAAGTAATTCAGTCGGATATATTTAAAATTTGGCGCAAGTCGAACATCAGATCGTTAAGTGCTTACCTGTTTCCGCAATCTTCTCATCCCTGAGCTTAGGATCGAGCTTGGGGATGGTATGTTCGCTCCTTAATCTGCCGCGGAATCTCGTCAACATTCCCATGTTGTCGGTAAACTGTTTGAAATCTGAAGGACCGCTTGTATCTATCGTCCGAATGATCACTGGAGGAATTCCAAAAGAAGTACGAAAAGTTATGTCTAGGTAGATTGTATGCACGTGGCTTTTTGGCAGAGAGGATTTTTGCGAATGAATCCACAGAACGGCGTGTTTCTTTTTTATTTATACACACACGCACACGCCGACACCAACACCGACACAGAGCGCACCACGAAAACTTAGAATAAATGTTTATTTTAAATAATGTAAACATGTTTGTGCTCCATCTCCGTGTTTTTGTTTTCAATCAGAAATCAATATCAAGGATGAATCCTAGAAAGAGAGAAGAAAATAATATTTTTAAATAACGAGTGCAAGGCTCTTCGAATTGAGGTGCTCAGGATTATTTTCGTAGTCCATTCAAATGAACTGCAGCTTCGAACTTCAATTTAAAATCAAAAAAATATAAACTTAAGAAACTTATCACCAGATCCGTGTTACGCAGTGGCACCGCATCTCGTGATATTTTTACGTTTGCTTAACAAAAACAAGTTTCATAGTTTTGATCAAATGTTTCACAAAATTCGTTAATTTTCAATGATCGTTTTTTATATTTATCAAGAGTATATTTCAATAAGATTTTTTACCAAATTAATTGCAAAACAATACATTTGTTGACGAATATATTTAATTATACTTTAAATAAATCTACTAAATATTTCAAATTATCAATAACTTTAATGAATTGTACTTTTTTAGATTAAATTAAAAGTCACAAATAATAAATGATTTTTAAGTCATCACATAAACACATACACGAAATCTTAAAAACCATATAAATCCTTGTTTTCCAAGAAGCATCGATATCAAAAAAAAAATAAAATAAAAATAGAACAAACACATTAATTAACTTGTACTGTATGGGCCAATAGTAGCTTATTAATAGCTATTGCTGTTCGAAAATCATATAATCTACGAGTAGGTTTATCTGGACAGTTTTATTTAGATTTTTTTTATCTGCCCGATAAAACAAACAAACTTTGCTGGAGTCCTCAAATGAATCTTTGATCTGAAATCGTCGTCGATAGTGAAACGGTTTCAATTACATTATTGCGGAGCCTTGGCTTTTGCAAATGGGATCATTAAACCTTATCGTTAATCGCAGCCGCATTATTTTTATATTCACACTCTTCTTAGTTTTTTCCCTCATTTCATCATTCTTTTGTTTTATTGAAATTACCAGAAAACACCAGATCGGATCTTATTACATCTTTTATACTTTAATAGTTCGACTAATGCTATGGTGAGATCGTGATGTATTAGCGAAATAAAACTGTCAAATTGTCTAGTTTGCTAAATTTTATTGTTTTATGTCTGTTGTGTCCGTACTTATTTATTTTGACCACTTTAAATCACGTCGGTCTCCTCTCCGGAGAAGCCGACTGTTTGCTTTGTAGTATTCATAATTGTTATGAGAGTGTGAGAGAGAGAGAGAAAAGGAAGAGGGCGCGGGGTGCGGTTAAATCCATTATGTCTGCATTTCTTTCTTTCTTTTTTTGGGGGGGAACAATAATTTCATTGGTGTGCGTCTACAGGGGTAGAAAAATACGCTCTCAGTTGTCAGTCTCGCACCAAGTCGCGCCAATTGTTATGTAAGCCAGTATGCCTCCTCGTTCACTATGTAAATTCATCTTCCGGGCAGTATTGCAGGTCATACACATCCAGACATTTTCTGGCGGGTAAGAGATTATTTTTTACTATTGCATTTTCACTTCAAAGAGAGAGAGAGATAAAAAAACAAATTATATTTTATAAACAATGTTACGAGAAGAATATTTTGATTGAAAGTAAACAGATTTTAGATTAATAATCAGCGATAGTATTATGCAAAGAAGTCCAACTCAGAGACTAACAAATATTATTCAATATTAATCAAAGTGTCAACACATATCAATAACAGGATAAAATCAAATTCCCTCATTCTGGAGATTAGTATGCATTGATTTTCGTTGAAATTAAAATTAAAACCGTAAAAAAATATAAAGAAACGATATTTTTACATATAAAAACACAGGGTTGATGGACCGCGATTTTATTTATAATATAATGCAAGTAGAAAAATAAAGAAATTCTTGTAAAAGTAAATATCTCCATTTACAGGAAATGATTATCAATTGAAGACAATAACAATAAATGGTTTCGCGTTAAATATATGGATGTATTTTATTTCTGAAATAAATACGATCGTGAATGTGAGTATTCGAATCGTGTTTTCAGTTTTTATTTTGAAGTTGTAGTTGTTGAACTCGAATTGAAAAAGTGAATAATTATTTAGCGCGTAAATGTTTTCAAACACGTCCGCACGTGCCAATCACAGCGAGAGAATTAAGTAAATACCAGTCAACAATTATTACAACATGTTATTCTTGTCGTTGCTTTTGGTCAAGGATCAAGGTGCGCTGTGCGTTTTACGCAATACCGCCAACTTGCGACAGTTTGGCGTTCTGTCAACGGTTGACACTTGCATAGTAGTTATTATGTTCTTTATTCATCGGTAATTTTTGTATATGTAAATGTTTTATTTTGAATTCGCAAAACGATTGTAAGAATCGGTGAATGGAAACGACACCCCAAATCGAAGCGGACAGACGTCTGCTGAAATTCAAGACATACGAGGAGTACCTCGATTCATTGGTGAATAAAAGCGACGTGTGCTATCTGCAGAGCGTTTCGGCTTCGAGGACTATTGCTGAATTGGGTTATAGAAGCACCGGAGAGACGTTGAGTAGGGATCAATTCCAGACTAGATTGGCAGCTGTTATAAGTTACCTTTTTCCAACGTTCAAACCGTACGAGTTGGCCAGCGAGAGGATGCCGGCGAAGGATCCTCTGCAGAAGGAACTTGCACTTAGGGAACGTGTCAATAGGCTCGGTATCATCTCCACGATAATTTTCTTGAGAAACTTTACAAGAGGCGGGTTCGAGGTGTCCGGATATATTGACTATGGGGATCGGCTGCAGAACGAGGATTGGAAACCGTTTTTCAGGGGGAAAAAGAAACTTTGGCCGCGTTCTTCGGATTTGGGATATTACCATTGGAGGTTAGGTAAAAGCATATCAAACGAATCGTTCAATTATAAGGTGATGGTCGACATGCAGAAAGGTTTGATATTTCAAAACAGATTCGATAGGAAAATCATTTACGTTGATCCGAACTTGTTAAGTCCTGGAAGCAATACTACGAGAACACGAATAGAGAGTTCAACTTACGAACACATCGTCCTATATGATCACGTCGTTATCCAGCGTATATAGAAAATTACGTTTTCTTTTATTATCTTTCATTCGCTGACGATGTCAGATTTGACATTCTCTTCATGTTTCTTATAGTAGATGTTTCATAAAAGGTAAAGCTAGAAAAATTCAAGTGATATGGAGACGACCCCTCAGATCGAAGCAGACCGTCGTTTGCTGCAGTTCGAAACTTACGAAGATTATCTGGATTCCTTGGTGACGCCAAGCGATTTGTGCTATCTGCAGAGCGTGGGATCATCTAGGGTGTTGGCGGAATTGGGGTACAGAAGCACCGGTGAGACTTTGAGCAGGGAACAGTTCCAGAAGAGATTGTCCACTGTCGTAGCATACCTCTTCCCCACGTTCAAACCCTACGAATTGGCCAGTGAGCGAATGCCAGCAACTGATCCTTTGCAGAAGGAGTTGGCTTTAAGAGAACGTGCGAACAGGCTGGGCATTCTCTCAACGATAATTTTCCTTAGAAATTTTACTGTCGGCGGATTTGAAGTGTCCGGATACATTGATTATGGGGATAGGTTGAAGCACGAGGATTGGAAACCGTTTTTTAAAGGTAAAAGAAAGATATGGCCGAGACCTTCGGATTTGGGCTACTACCATTGGAGGATGGGTCAGAGCATATCCAACGAATCGTTTAATTACAAGGTTCTCGTGGACCCGAGGCGCGGACTCATATTCCAAAACAGATTCGACAGGAAGACGATTTGCGTCGATCCCAATATGATTCCAGGGAGCAACAGTACGAGGATACGCGTAGAAACGCCTTGCTACGAGCACGTCGTACTCTACGACCACGTCGTGATCCAACGTATATAAACACGAAAATATGCCAAATATTCAAAATAAAACAGGGACGATAACAACTGAATCTTTATTTTGTCTAAGAAAGTTCGGGAACATTTTCTAAACTTCTCAATGAATAGAATCTATAGGTAAGAGAATCGGAACGTGTGTAGTAAATTTAGAGAGCAAACGCGTTTATTTTTCCGGGAAGTTGTTGATCACATGCGGCACTTTTTTTAATTGGAATTCAGCATTCGATGACACGGTTATCTGTAAATAGTATGTATGTTTTTATTTAATACCACGACCCATTGCTCCGGTACTTATATTTAGTAAGTTGTGCTTTATAATTAGAATATTGTTAACGTGCGAATGACAAACGCGTGAGGTTCTCTACGTTCGAATCTGTGATTCGCACAACGTACATACGCGAAAGAACCTACGCGATTTTCAAAAATATCAAAATTAATCCACTTGTTGATTTGGCGCTTCTTCCGGTTTTTCCCAACCGATATTATTTTTCTACGCTCTTGTCCTCTGTTGATCCCATGAAGACAAAGCAAGCAATTTCTAGTATTGATAATCTCTTATTAATATACATGTTTTATTCCTATTCTTGTTCAGGAATGTTTATATCGGCTGATATGCACATATCCAAGTGAAGGAAAAGAAAGTAGCAAAGTCTGGTAGATTTGCAAAGCGTGAATGTTATCCACCTTAACACGTAGATACGTTATGCAAATATACCGCTCTCTTGTTATTATGCTTGCCTATTTACGTTATAATTTAAATTAGAAACCAATAATTAATAGTAGAAAAAATATGATAATACACAAAACATTTTTTTTTAAATATAACATTCTAATGATAAATCACAAAAAAAATATATTAAATGAAATTCATTTTATGTACAATAATATGTGTGATACTCAGTTAGAAACAAATTAATAATTTGATAAACAATATTAGTAACCTAATTAATGAAGACTAAAAAATCACAAAATAATTTTAAAACTATGACTTCCAATTTTGATACACCATATACCTTGAAAACTTATTTTTTTTTTAATTATAGAGATTACAACAAAGTTTACTATTACAAAAAAAGCTTAGTAACCTTATTATGAAGGCTCAGAAGTTACAGCGCATGTGCGGGGTTCTTCCTCCATTGCGTGGCGTTACACTTACATTCACTTCCTAAATTTGCTCAATTCATTTTCATTTTAAATTAATTGAAAATAATTGTTTCTTTTCTGAAACCCACATACGTTACTGCGGAATACTCATAATGCACTACCAATTAAACTACACTGCAATCCACGACACATATAAATTGTTTATAAATTATTTGAGAACATCATACAATTATCTTCAATATCGGTGTTTTCGCTATTGGTTTCTTAATTTACAATAAATAATATTTAGAATTATTTCATTTTCTCTTTACGTTCATCTCAGTAGCGAAATAAATTGTTTTATAAAATAAGCACTAGCAAATTGTTTTCAGCGTGGTCCAGTTCTTGATTTAATGTTAGAAATGAAGACAAATGAAATTTTGATTGCGTAATTTAGCAACCCATACAAATATTATTTTCTATCTTATTATTGAGATAACCCACAGTATGTTAGCTGAAGCGTGTATTATTATGTTTCGTTTTTTTTTCCTCATTGCTTCATATGCCCTTACTTAAAATAGACCTATTATCTAATTGATATGATTAATGTCTTTAAAAATAGTACAACAACCGATATAGAATGCTGCTAGAATTAAGTAGTAAAAATTGTGACCAATAGGGTTCGGTAGATGGAAACATCATAAAAAAGGAAATACAAATAGACGAAGTTAGAATCGGGACATATCAAAAGAAACTTAGTTCGAGCAGCGACTGTTTCGGTAGGGCTTAATTATGGCTGTTGGATGTTAATTAATATCCGTACCGAATTAATAAATCGGCAACATCGTGTTCAGTATTGTGCGTGTATGCGTATGTATGTATTTATTTTTTTCTCTCTTCTAACAGTGTATGTAATCAACGGTTTATTCTTTGATAAGAGCGTCCCGAGGCAGTGGCTCGAGATTTCAGTCTTTGGACAACCATAGACTCGGTGATACGACTGTGTGCTGTGGCGGTGGTTGGTGCGCTCGCAATTTACCAAAGAAAGAATAGTGTTCCTAAGATCTCGTTGCGGCTTCCTTGCATAATGACCGCGAAATGGATGCGAGCCTGAAGTATTGCGCCCGTTAATTGCAGCTGCATCAACATTATCAGCAAAAAAACAACAGCGCTTCACAGAAAAAACAAGAAACAACAAAAGAAAGTTACAAACAACAACAAGACACACAAAAAAACAACAGCAACAAAAGAATCGACGATCACGGAGTAGGGCACATACACTCAAACTCGCACATGTACACACTCACACTAATATACAAACACAAGTTGTAGACACAGGAGAAAAGTTCCGCGTTACGGTCTTCGTGATATAATATTGATGTATTGTTACATAATACCATCGGCTGTGTTGAATAGGTGGTTTGTTGATGACTCGAAAGTTGTTTTTAATTGTTGGAAGTTTCCTATCGGTACACCGAAATACCGATATACGGGCCGCAGGAGATTGGTCCAGGTAATTACAATAACTTGATGTATTTTCGCAAAGATGCAACCTCCAGCTTCACTTGGAGCGATTTCCTTATATATACCAGGGACGATCACATTTATAAATAATGCCTAGAACGAGCGATTCACATTAATTAATTGTTGTGTGGTTCGCTGCAATGGATTCGAACTAGGGACTTTTGTTATTCATAGAATATCTTGTATTTCTAATAAAAAAAAAGATAAGGACGTACAAGTATATAATCGACGATCACATTTGCAATTAAAAGTTATTCATCGAATAGGCACGGTAACAAAAATTTTCTTTTGCATGAAACTTATATTTTTCTATAATAATTTTAAGTCATTAATATAATTCTTTAAAGTTTTTATTTTCTAAATGGATGATAAATGAATTTTCTGTAATTTGATTTTAACTTTACTTTTTGTTGCACCGATTCACTGAGCATCTAAACTGACTTCTTTCCCATCCGGTATTGGTTGTGCAAAAGCTTTGATATAGTGTTATTATGTAAATGATTTTTTTAAAATAATTTCAGAGTTTCACTTACAGCTCGAGAGCGTTCTAATAATAGCTCGTTCGAATGCACGCTCTTAGCGGAATTATAAATAGATCAGGTATTGAAATTGCTTTCCAATCACACTTAGCACCTGGATGTAGTATTGGCAAGACAGGCAATAATAGTAAAGTAGGCAGCACGGAGAAGCAGGAGTTTGTTTCGTATTCATTTGCAGAGTTTCGTCGCGCATCAACACAGTTCGCAAATTAACAAAACTTACGATGTGTTCGAGTTTGATAGCAGTGGTACTGGCAGTTTTTATTTTTCGAATATTTGCAGCTAATCTCCGAGTTTGCGAATTTATTGATTGTGTCGAAGGGAAATAAATGCACGCGGTTTCTCATTATTTTAATTGCGTTTGCATAAATAGTCACAACATGGGATAAGATGTATCCTTCTCTGCTTAATTCGCGGTCCAAACTTAATTTAATGAACGTACAAACAAAATAAGTGATTACAGCAAATGGTCGCATTCCGAGCGGCATCGCTATATTATTGGCCTCTTCTCCCGGCTCGTAAAATAACAATAAAATATTATGATTCACGTGTTGCTAGCTGGTAATGATGCCACAAAATGCAATTCGCGGAACGTTTCGTTCGCCGTACCCTCACTGTTCATTACTTGCTTAATTAAGTCGAAAGCGATTGTGCCTTTTTATTTCAAATATTTTAGTGCTGTGTCTGTCTGTTGCCTTTCTCATTTGCCGATCACCATTACCAACCACTATGGGACATCGATGCAGTTGCATCGTGTTGCCAACAGGAATTGGGTTTAAAATTGTTGCGAGTGTATTTTCCCCGGTAGTGGTGTTATATATTATACGTAAACAGTGGGGAAGGCCTCAGATTGTGCTGTAAATAGTGAGCAGGACCTTTTTTGCTCTCTAGACGCATGCAAACGATGGATGCGATATATTTTTGTTCTAGAGCAAGTAAATACCCAGCATTGATTATAATTTTCCATGAAGTGCCAATTAAATGTGAATTTTGATCTGTTTATGCACAACATCCACCGCACGGAATGCGAAGTGTAAATGGGTCTCGTGGATCGGAGGCAACAATGAATTTAAAAAAAGTCCGAAAGCGGCGTAAACAAAAGTTCATTGCTTGGGTGAATATATTTTCCAAATACGATTAATCGTGCTTTTATCGGCGTTATTATTATTATTAATTGTCAGCCATCTCTGATATCTGGCATTTCAAGCGTCTCTCACGCTCGAGATCCGGCGCAAGATGCAACCACTGTTGTGGTGTCTTAGCATCACGAGGTTGGCAACGCCGAGGTTGGTAACCGAAGCATAAGCTCATCATCATCATCACCACCTTCAAAATTACTTATTATTTTTTTACGCGAATTATCTCTCCTTCATACGTAGCAATTAACAATGCCTTATTGTCTTTGTTTTTCAGTATATCCGAGAGTGCGACCCCGTGAGCGCATTTCGCCATTGCCATGCAGACCATTTCGATTATTTCCCTCCTGTTCGCCGTCACCCTGTCGTTCGTCATTACAAACATGTGAGTATATCCAAAATGATGCACACGCATTCCCGATCCGGATCCGCATGTCTCCTCTCTAGACAATATTCCGCTGTTGCGTAACACTCCGCCACTGGTAAATATGTTTGTTGTCGTGCGAGTATTTAGTTCACGGACGCTGTTGGGTTCCTTCAATAATCGTTTTGCTGCTTTTCAGCTTCGAGAAACGAGTCAAAATAGAAAAGACACTTAATTTAACTCCACTCACTCGATTTTATAAGCCAAAAAAATACATGAAATACATTTTTTTCGATTTCAGTTCCTTCAATAAGATTAGATAAGAAATTTCTTAAAAAATTTCATTGAATTTCAGAGATTGGCGCACTTGTTTATAAAATATTAATTCACAATTTTAAAAAAATATATAAATTAAAACATTATTTTTTCATGGAAAAGAATATTAAGTATAGTTAAAATCAATTAATAAATTAAAATACAAAAAATATTTATTTAGTTTTAATATCAGTAAATTTTAATATAGAAAACAGCAGCATTATTTATAAACACTTTAATATTTAATTAAATACATAAACGGATAGATGTAAACGGTCGTATTAACTGTATGTAAATTATCAATATTTATGTGGTATTACATTGAATATCTCAATTACATGATAATCGCAAAGCAATTCTATATTCAATTTAAAGCGAAGCAAATAATGAAAAAAAAGATAGTAATAAATTAAAAATAAACAAACATTGCAAAAGTGTCTTCATTGAATCCATAATAAAACAATGATAAATGATCGTCTGTAACTGTTTACGTTCTATAATTATAACCGAGGCAGCCGATGTTTCTAGGAAGGAATCGTTGTGTTTAAAATAGTTTACACGCATTGGCGAATGCAACATCAATAAATTGTTAATCACCAATCGACACTCAATATAATAGTGAACCGTGAACGACTTCGACTTGTTCGGCAAAAAAAAATCAAATGAAAAGTGCTACCGAAGATGAGTAACTTCAAACGAATGCTCCTTGATTTTGATAAAGCAGTGATTGAGGAACGAGAGAAGAAAAAGAGACGAGGATGGATGTAGGAGCGTCTCCTGATAAGTCAACGAAAACAGTTACATCGAGAAAAGCATATTGTGTAACTGGCTCAAGTTGACGATTGTTTTTATTTTTCTGTTTCTGGGTATAATTTATATATTCGAAAAGAAAGAAAGAAGATCCATTATATAAGTGGATTTTTATCGCTTCAAGCGAAGCGATGAAAGATATAATCGGGCCGGTTTTTTTTTTCATATGTAAGACGCGATAATTGCAGCTATTTTATTTACCTAAAAAAAATATAGTTCATCGAATGATAAGATGCTTGTGGTTATCAAGGAAGAACTAAAGTGATGTTCATGTCTAGTTCCTAGAGGCGAGCGGAAAGGAAGAATGAGTTTCGCCATGTCAACGGTGACAAATTGATCATAGTAGATCATAGCAATGATCGCAATAATTGGCACGTGTCCCCATTTTTGCGATTAAACCTCATTGAAACTAGTTGCTCACTTTCTTTCTGCTCGCAAACTCGTTTTGCTTTTGAGACCGCAACTCGCTATTTATAGAAGAAGCGCACTCTCGGTTTTGTATGCACATTAACCCATTACGACCATTATCGTTATTACCGTTGTTAGAACGGGGGGACAGATTACGCAGTGATGTAACGCGTTTGTATTGTTCAGGAAGTTTTATGCAGGTTCGACGATCCCTGCCTTTGTGTCTACGCCAATTTAAAATTTCAAAACTTGAATTGATCTGCAAAGCGGGACATCATCTCTTCGTGCAACTGGTTGCAGATAATTTATTACCATGCATAACCCATTCAGAATCCCGTAGATTTCCGTTCTAGTACAATGGAGATGATTTGTTTCATGCATTAGACAATAATATTAATGTCCTGTGCGCGTGGCTGTAAGGAAGAAAAAAGAAAACAAACTTCATAACAATGTAACAGTAAAAACCACATCCTTCGTTTTCTATTGCAATTAACAATTGTGACCATGAAATATTTATAATGTTGCAAAATACTACCGCAATTGAACGGAACACGCATTGTGCTCCATTTTCGAATTATTATTTAATGCACTCTTATTGAGCGCGTGTTGATAATTATTTCTGTTTTGATTCTTTAGGGCTGAAGCTAGAGCGCCATGGATTTGCCAACCTTGTGATATGTTCGAAGAATGCAACAAAGAACCGGAGAGCTACTGCATGTGGGGTGAAACTAGAAACTCTTGCAACAGGAGAGTTTGTGCCAAGGTATGATTATATTAAAAACAAATAGTTTAACTACACCAACATCATATTTAAACCGATTTCGAGAAGAGTATAGATTACCCATCTGTTTCAAATGTTGCTTAACTTTCGTGAGATCAACGCCACCAAATTAAAATAATGCATTGACAATGATTAACTACATTTGTTGTTGGATATAACTAGAATAAATAGGACAGCAAAAAAAAGTTTGCAACATGAAACATATGGACGTATATTTTCAGATTGAGATGATACATGCATGTATATTTGTATAATACAATTGGAAACAGCGAAGAGTAGAATCCACTTGGGATTACAATAAGTAATTAAACTAAAATGTGTAATCTAGTTGCAATTCCGACCAGACAAACAACTAATAAATCAGATGAGCTTAATTAGTGGAGAATAGTGCCCGAGATATTGCGGGATCAAAAGTATCCTTCCACGATACATTGTAATGTTATTTCGAGCACACTCACTTGTAGATATTTATTGATTATTGTTGATCCATTACAAGAGGGACTAAGGAGGTTTTATGCACGAAACAACTTCTGTTTTCATGAATCAGTTTAAAGGTGAATCGATTATCGAATGCGAAGCTAAAAAAAACTAGTTGATTGATTAGTTCATTTGAAATCCTTGATCCACATTGTAGGTGAATATGAATTACGAACCTTCGTTCTCTCTTGCATCATCTCTGATAAACATCAAGCTTATTTTTCTGTGTTGACTGAATTTTATTTTCTATATATTCAGTAAGACCAAAGACAAATGTTATTTTTGGTATTGTTAATAAAATTCCTAACACTGTAAATATTTATATAGTGATGGCTTTGTTCCTGGATAAGGACGAAGTTCAATTATTTGGTATGTTTTCGTCTTAGGAACACGAATTTAGATCGGTTTCGCGTGAGAAATACAAATTCTGTTCACACGGATATTCGTTGATGTTATATGTACTGAAGATATAACTGTGAAAATAGTTCATTTGATTCGAAAAATTCTATCGTCGACCGAGAAAAAAAGTTGATAAAGCAAAGTTAAATATTTTAATAGTTTTTGTTTGATCCTACTTATTATCTCCAAGAAACTACTCTCAATAAACATGTTGACGTCGATTACCGTGTTCAATAGTTTTTATTTGACAATCAATGATTATGAATGTTTCTTCATTGATAACAATCAAGTTTTTCTATGTTGTAACAAGTGTAATAAATGTTTTTCTTTGTGCTTTTGCAGGGTCCAGGTGAAAGGTGCGGTGGACTCCGTGATATTTTCGGAAGGTGCGGTACTGGAATGTGGTGCCAGAAGGAAGACGAATCCAACACTTACACTTGCCATGGATGCTATGACAACAGCTTGGAGTGCCACCAAAGTACAAGATACTAAGAAGATCTCAGACGGTTGACGAAAAACTGACGTGAAGAAAGACAAGAATGCCGCTTCAGTATTACTACAGCATTTAGGCCACTTATTATTATTATTAAGAGTTTGTTTTTGTTTCCTATTCTTTATATTCTTCTCATTTTCGAAAGCTTCGTCTCCCTGTGTTTGCTCGGAGCCAGTCCGAAAATTGCTCTCTAAAATCTTTTCTATTTTACTTTATTTTACTGATACATACCATTCGTGCGTTCGCTAAGGACGCGCACATTCCAGAAATTCCCTCAAACACACATGCACACAAACACAAGCATAGACACACAAATACACCAAAACAGTTTCAATCAACAAATTCCCGTTTCTCACTTGACGACTCAAATTGAATCGTCAAACAGAAGCTTAATTTATGTGATTTTATTATTATTATTATGTTATACTAAATGATGTTGTAATTAATTAATTAATTTGTACATATTTATTGAAGAGTGAAAAACATGAAAAATATATGAAAAAAGCGATTAAATTGATCTCGACAAATTGACAAATTATCTATAAATACAATATTTAAAATCCATATAATGTGTTTTATCTTAATCCCACTTCTCTTAAATTGCAAATCCATCAACAATACCTCTGATGTTACTAATAATTATTAGATTTGTATTCCCATTCTCAAAGTATTAGAATTGAAACAAATCTTAAAAATTAAACCCAGTTACTAAAATTATCTATTGTCCTTCGTTTTTATAAATACGTATTAATTTTATGTTTTCTATAATTATGCATTACCATCTTCACCCTACTTCTCTTAAATTGCAAATCCATCAACACAATCCAACACTTCATAAATAAACTGATGTTACTAACAATTATTAGATTTGTTTAACTGTTCTTAAAGCAACAGAATTTAAACAAATCCTTTATTTTTATAAATTCGTATTCAAAAATAATTTAATTGTTTTTATTTTTCAGTTGCACTATGAACATTACAGATTAAATTAGTCGATTGTAAATAATGATATAATTCTCAGTAATTTCAATAAAAGAGGTCGTGTCCTTGTCATTAAATAAGTTCCTATTATATGTAATAGGTTTAAAAAACATATAATCATAACAGAATATTTATCATTAATAAACGGAATAAAGCGTTATATAAACGTTAATCAAATAATGTGGAAGTTGAGATATATTAAACGAATTGTCCTTTGGTCCAAATTAGAGTCAATACAATTTTCTAATGAATGGTACTGATGATAGTTTATTTTTAAATTTAATTTCCTGAATATTTTACGTGAGAAATATGACTATTTGCTGTGTCTGAACCAAATACATTATTAATATGAGAAAACCTTGTGTAAAATATTGATTTAAAAATAATTAATTTTCATACAAATTTACTTAAATGTACAAAGCTTTCCTTTTGTATGTATACAAGTTAGTTAACTTGTAATCGTTTTGTTCAGAAGATTATGAAAAAAGATGTATGTTGAGCGGAAAGACACAGATTGTGTCCAATATTTATTATTTAAATAAAAGGATAAAAGTAATTTAAAAGAATTTATATATTTTTTCATTATTTTATAGTAATATGAACATAATTCCCATAGTATCTTTTATTATTTGATAGAGACGTAACAAATGAAATTCTCAACTTTTTTTCATTAGCATACCCCTTGACATGCAATTTCTCTAGATTGTATGTTAATTTTATTTTTTTCTGTACTTCATCTTTAGTTAAAGATATCTTAAGTTGGTACAATTTCTGTAAGAATAAACAAATATATATTCAAACTATAATTTAAGTAAAACATTTTGATGTTGTTACCCCATATATGAGTTCGAATACTGTCACACTTGAAACGATAATCTTGCACCTAGAGCAAGGAACCAATTGAAGATAGATAAGCAAAGGTCGGGAAACTCGAGAGGTACACTTTTTTAACTGGTTCGCCATTAAAAATGCACTAATTGTGTAAGAATTTAATGGACGAAATACGATGGATTTTTAATATAAAATTTAATTTTAATAAACCAGCGTATGGTAAATCAAGTGTTCTGGTATTCTGTATGAAACAGGTGAAACCTGGTAAAGGTTATATGGAAAACGATCTTGAATCATTTTAGAGACTATGTTTTGCGCTTATATTGATACCTTGTTATCATCTTCAAGAGAAGATAATATACCTTTTGCACTTGAGGATGCGACCACGTGGAAGTCGCAGCTCTCACTCACAGAAAATGAGAGCAAACGCGAAAATAGGAAACATTTAGGATAGAAGGAAATGTGACATGACATACAACATAATTAAATTAATCTCGAAACAGAACACAAAAAAATAACAACACACCCGATATAAAACATGAACGAAATATACGTTTACATAATCTATAATATTGTATTAAAAAATACTATATACATTTATAATTACAATAAAAATAAAATTGCATTGCACATTGAACATCATTATAATATTATTCAAACATCAATATTAATATTAATAATATTAATTATTTTGCACTGAAACAAACTCTTCATATTAATACATTCTTCGAGTTTAATGTGTGCATGTATTTTATTAGTCACTCACTCACAACTCATCGATTAGATAGTTTTAGAACATTGATTATTTTTCCGAGTCCGATTTGGCATTAATTTACATCACATATTAGCAGGTACACCTAATGATATGAATAGTTATAAAATAAGCCACACAGTTTGACAGACACTCTTCTAGATCAACGAGTCAGTGGATAACTCATCGTTACAAGCATTCACCGACAATATTCAATAAAATCAGTAAAACACATTACATTCTTCAGCAAATACAGGGCTAGTTATCCAAGTCAGCGTTGTTCAAAGCATCTATGGCGATCCATTTCCTCCGTCTCACTCTCAATTCTGAATGCCAATCAATCTCATTCGACTAGCAAATCACTTTCTTCCCTAAAGTTCCTGAACGTGTGCATGCCTCGATACAAATATATTCGTCCACGTGCTCCAAAGTGCGGACAATGGTATTTGGCCACACGTCATTGTACATACATTTGCAAAAAATGGAATCAGAAGATAATAAAAACATAATTTTTAATATATTCAAACTACTATGAGGAACACTGGAATTTTCTCGCGGTCCACCAATTCTATGCTTATATAATTTTATGCAATCTAATTAAACAAATAAATATGACGCATTAACAAAGTTGAATGAGGATTACCAAAATCCGCTAAAATGTTCGGGATTTTGATATAGATCTATTATATAGAGCTTAGTTTTTTATTGTTACGTCACTGATTGATTAGTCTAAAAATATATTTTGTTGATAAAGGAATGTGCCATTACAAATTCATATCAGCCGAAATAGCTCAGTTGGGAGAGCGTTAGACTGAAGATCTAAAGGTCCCTGGTTCGATCCCTGGTTTCGGCAATTACTTTTGTTGTACAAGCCAGTTGGTAGAAAATATTTTATAAATAAAAGGTATTCGGTTAACGAACATAATCCATTTAAATACAAAGTACGCCAATCGTAATTTTTAAATTTACGTTTTATTATAATGTAGATATACAGAAAAGTATGTTATCTAATTGTTTATTTATTAGATAATGTCTCATAATTAAATCAATTTATTTTGTAAAAAATATAATTAAAATTGTTAATTATTTTTGCGTATTGATTTGAATTTTATAATTTGAATAAAAAAACGGTAAATTATTAATGTTAACTAAAAAGTACAGTAATGGTCGGACTTTAGTGAAGTCAAATTTGAAAATTTCAAAAGAAACTAAATTTGAAATGAACAAAATGATTTATTACATAAATCGCCGTTTTTGATTCTCGATTAATTCTAAACAGTTTGGGATATTATCAGGACTAAGAGAGGTATTGCTTTACTTGTTAAATAAGCTATGAAAAATGTATCTAATATACAAAATAATACTCGACAAGTATCTTACAAGTTAATTGGAAGGTTAGACTTCCCGTTATATTTAACTGTTATAAAATATAGCTTCTTTAAAAAACACATGTAGTATGATATTGAGTGAAGATTGTTTCAAATATGTCCTGTTAATAACATTTATCTGCGAGATACTTAAATTAATTATCAAAAAAAAATTAAGAGTGCTTTTCGTAAGCACAACAACTAAAAGCACATAACCAAATCGCATCTGTAATTATTTTTAATAATAGGTTTCATAAATAAGTATTGTTCTCTGTAGGTTTTCAAGTATTTTATTGTACTAATTAATACACTTTGCTAAAGCGAAATGCAAATAATAAAGTAGTAAGAAAAGAGAAACGAAAAAAACAACTAACAAATATTCATAATAAAATTCATTTATAAATAAATACACTAACAACTATGGAAATACGTATATAATGAACAAAATTACTCTAAAAAAAATAGTAATGATTAGTTTCGATTAGACGAGAATTACACGTATATATTTATATAATGCAAATACTTGGTATAATATTATGTAGAAACTAGATGCATATCAACTACACTAGACTTAGGCTAAAACGTATGTAGTCATAGAGGAATTTGTATTGGTGATTAAAATAAAATAATATATATAAATGTGCGAGAAGAAACGCCGTGTTAATTATTAATCGTGCTTCTTGCTGTTCTTCTGGTGTCTTCTGCGTACGAGGAAACCGCGGATGCCGGCTTGAATTTTGGTTGCGGATCGCTCTTCTAGTTCGGATGTGTCTCTCTTCATCATTTTTCCGGATTCGATCAGTTTGCCGGAACTTTTCCTTCTCGGTGACCGTTTAGAATTTTTGATGTCACTCTGGAAAATGACATAGAAAATACATTAAAAATTTATAGAAAATTGCATGAATTATAGTGTTACTTTTTACATAATAAATCAAAATTAGCATAGCGCATAGCGACCACAAGTTTTTTGGGCACACAAAAAATAACTGAATGAGAATTCAATCCAGACAACATTTTAACCCGTTGCGATCTTTTTAACTAATATCTAGGACTCACGACAACCTTAATGCGGGTTGTGGTTTTGATAAGACGTTAGTCATTTTTTTTCTACTAAATTTAGTATTTTTGTCACTTCAACATTCTATTTGTTCTTTGTTACCAAAACGATGTTATAAGTTTATTATTTCTTCAAACTTATATTAAAGATCATATTTTGAATAATTAATATAAGGGACTTTAGTTTTTGTGATGGTATTTTATTCGTAACTGAATCAAAGAGTTTCAATAGAAATCAATATTTTTGCAAAATTATTCAAAATTATAAAAAATAAAGGTGGGCATCTGAATCTCACCTAAATAAATAACGAATGTTTGCTGTGCAATGCGCATATTATTATAGAATAATTCAGTGCCAAATGATTTCAATTTCTGGGATATTAGCCAAATAAAAATTCATTCCTTATTTAAATATTACTATTAGTAAATATCTATATTTTTTTTTATAAAAATTCCTATTTATATATATTGGGTGAAGTAAAAAGTTTTAAGCGTTTTTCGTTAGATTGCGTTGCATCTTGTCATTCTATAATGTGACTTAAAGGAGACATAACGCTTTAAAAAAAAGTTCTTTGACAATTTTGTGTTTAGTGAATTTTAGAGCGTTCCAAAATGGAGGTAAAAAAAGAGAAAATTCGATAGATTCTTCAGTACCACTACGACCAAGGGAAAATGGGGAAAATTGTGTTGTTTATGGACCAAATACAGTATCGAATGCAAGAGAGAAGAGTTGGAACCGTTCTGGAAATATGGACGTCGAAGAGGAGACACACTCTGGTAGGCTAATCGTCGAAAATGTTGATAAAATTATGGAAACGCTCAGAACTTTTTGAAGAATATAATTCAAATTTCTTATCATGCTGACGTTAACATTAGTTACTTTCATTAGAAAATTTATGTTTGTGAGGTATACAAAACACATTCATGTATTACAAAGGAATGTGTGATATTACCCACAGATTTTCGACTATGGCTTTATAGAATACGGTCAGAATTAAAGAAATAACGTCCAAGAATGTCCGTACGAACGTACACTGATATATATGTAAAAAAAATCGTAAATGTATACATTCTTCTGCTCCTCTCTCGCTATTACATTTAGCAGGAGAATAAATGTATTTATATGAACATTTTTAGTTCGATTAACATACATTCGCTTAACGTATAACTACACTTGGTTCTCTTATTATGTGGTAGATACGTTCCACAAGAAAGCGCATAAAAATAAATCGCACAAAAAAGGACTAGACACACGTATAAAAATAAAGGATACGTTCCATAATTTTTTAAAACCGCATAAAACTAAATAAATGAGTTACAATATACCGAAAATCGCATAAAAAAGGGTTTATTAAATTTCAGAAAAATATAATCTTAACTATTCCTTCTAAATTTATACGAAAAAAATTTACAAAAAAAATCACTTTCATCACTACAAGAGATAGTCAGCATATCAGATCAGATGTCTTAACTTCGCATGTTGTTTTTTTCCCTTTGACAATGTAATCAGTGATTAAACTTTGCGATGACTGTCCTTTTTTTTGTACAATTCTTGATATCCAGAAATGCAATTCTGAATCTCGCGTTGAAACTTGAATGCTCGTTCAGAATTTTTATCTTATTCGATTAAATGGTTTGCCAATTTGTGTCAAAATGGCCTAAAATAGTTATTAAAAAAAATGCTTCTTGAAATAAAAACCGCATAAAAAGAGTACGCATAAAAAGAGGACCGATTGTATTTGTGTATCTTTGTACATTAACTGAGCGCTGATTCTAATCATTTTAAAAAATCAATAACTCTTTGTTTGAACGTGAAATATTTGACATTGTCATTTTGACATTAGTATTTATAAGTAAAATAGCAAATTCTACTTAACTTGGATTCCGTTGAATTAGAATTGAAAATGAATCACCGTTTGGCTTATAAGTAATAGATCAGTTTTCGCATGGCATCAACCCACATCAATCGCTGCGAATTGGCTGAACTGTTTGGATTGTAATCGATTTTGGCACGTTTTGATTCGACCGCCCTCCGAAAATAGTTTAGATGCGAGAGCGAAAATTCCGAAGCCATCGAATTGACTGACGTCCATACAATCATTATTATTATTATTATTATAATTTTTAATAATAACATAAACGGCACTAAAGTGCTCCGGAATCTTTGCAGTTTGATGCATCGAAAGTGAAATTCGTGTCAAGACCGTGATTTCTTCAAAATGCAGCAGCTTTCAACGCGCGAAATCGAAGACGAGCGAACATCTTTATGTCCGTGCCACCTCTTAAATCTCTTCGTTAACCCAAATTGCCCTGGCACATTAAGTCGAATGCAATAATAATACAGACGGCACGAGGCCGCCTTCAATTGCTCCAACAACGAACAAAAAAAATGTAATGGACGTCACATGTCCAGTACGTAATTGCGATGACAATTGAATGAAGACGTCAGCAGTTTGCGTCAAATGGACAGGACCTTCATTAATGAACCCTCACGTTACAATAATCGCACATAACATTAAAACAATAGGAGAGGAATTCAGGAATTCGCTTCAATAAAAATGTCGACACGTTTACTTGTTTAAATTTCCATTGGGTCGCATAAATATTTGATATACATTCGTGCAATAATATCTTTAATTAGAAATGATTTATGGACTGAGGCAAGAGGAAAATCACAGTGGAAATTTGGGTGTCGAAATGTGCCGGTCCTGAAAATATGAAAGGAATTCTGCATCTACCCTTGAAATTTTATAATAATTCTTATGGGAGAGTAGATATTTTTAGAGTCGCTATTTAAATAGAAATAAAAGCAGATGCGCTCCTATCGAGAGGAAGAGAGATGCTCTCTCACTATACAAGCCATTCTAGTGGCCGATCCTAAATTAATTCATCTACTCTACTAAACAAAAATCTCATCTCCGAAGAGAGCACATGTCCTATTACTGACTGATTCATTACGTCTGCAACATACAAGTACTCCGCTGCTGTTGCAGTTATTTCCGAACCATACTTGATGCAGCAGTCCTATTTATGCACATTCCTCAATCATTTATTTTTCCTATCTTCAGAAACATAGTTGATCCATTATATTAATATGCACAAACATTTGTTATTTGTTACTTATTTTTCGGAAAATTTATCTAACTATTTTTCTCTTAAACGTCAACTTCTATTGCAAATTCAGTTTGTTTTGACATTTTAAAACTGTACTATAGTGAATCCGTACTGATAGAAGTCGCACTATGCGAGGTATTGCTGTATTTCCATTAAAATATTATTATTGTATCTCTTATATATTTATTTCATACTTTATATTGAACAACAATGCAATATAAAATGTGTCTTAAAATTAAAGCAAGATTAGAAAACAACAATATTAGAAAATTATGGGACACCCTTTATATTGAATAATATAACTATTCTAGAAATTAAGTTTTTATGAAAATATTAATAATATCTAAAAAATATTTTAATCAAATGTATTTTTCGGACTATAAGACGAACTTTAGTATTAAGTCGCTTTCTCTACCAAAAAAGTGCATCTTGTAGTCCATGTTTTGTATATTATAAATTTAACAGAATAAATAACTTTGGGGCGATAAGTTGTCTATAATCCTTTGTAATTTGTTTTTGTATATATTCAAATTTATTTATTTATTACAAAAAATATTATTATTGCCTTTAATTGTACCTTTTTTTAAATTAAAAGAAACATGTTTTGGTTTGTGTCAACTAAAATAGATTAATTAATATAAACACGGTTCCTAAGTTTTCAAAATATGTTGAGAAATAAATGTGGAAACATTCGCTGTATTCGCATCTAAGGAAATCATATTATTTTTGGAAGTCAATGTCAGAACATGTCCTCTGCGATTTTTCAAGTACAGAAACGTTGGGACAATATAACAAATGAGTTAATGAATCCACCAATTAGTCGAATAAAAAGGACCGAAATGACAAATATCCAAAGAACTTTAGAGAGAGAGAGAGGCAAACATATCCTTGACGTAAATTTAGACTAAATGCTATAATTATAAAAATTTGAAAATTACTGAAACACTCGGATGCAATAACTTTGTTTACGCGATGTTCGGCATTCCGCGCTTTCTTTCCGAGCCGACTTTCCGGCATAAAAATAAATAGCTTGGCCATATCATCCTTTTGATATGATGGCAAAAGGCTAATTCCAGAGGAACGGCAAAGAAATGCATCAACGAGATGTATTTATGGAAATGTTGTTTATTGAGACAACTCATAGGAACGCCAAGAACGAAAGCTTTTGGCAATCGTTTTGAGATTTACTTTTTTTTGATAGGTTGCATCTGTTTGTTGCTGTCGCTGTTGTTATCGGACAAACTTTGAGATTTACTTAAGACGCGCCTGGTTCTATTGTTGATGCGATAGGTGGCAAATATTTGGACTTCTGCGCTTTGTAAATAATTCCAACCCGCAAGAGATAATTGATCGGATTCGAAGGATCTGGTCTTTATTCGTCGGCAATGTGCACCGGCGGTGCACCAAGAGCAGTGAATAAATAGAATACCCGAGGGCATTTTGCAACGGTTTATTTCCCCGGTCTATTTACGCTTCCAGTGTTTCCAAAATAAATAGAGGACGGGTGTTATGGTCATCATCTGGTGGCGCTGTTCATTCCCGTTATGCATCGCACCTCTTCTAAATGCCTCTTAAGTCAATAACGAAACTAATCAATGTCATAAACATCCATCCGGTTTTATGGTGATTATGTTTGCATTTTATTATAACGCCGTGTGTATGTATGTGTATGTATGAACGCTG